GAGGATCTTCGGATCAATTCTTGAAGTGATAAAGGCGATACGATGTTAGATAATGATAATTTAAGCAATATAAATATTCGGCCATACTGCCACTTACATATTTCATTAAAAAGAACCATCAAAAAGCACTGTCAAAATTTTAAAGCCTTCTAGCAGTTTTTTAGCGGCTGTTTCTAAAAAATATTGTTGACAAAAAGCAATTTATTTGCATTTTCTATTGATTGCCAGAATTTTAAAAGCCACAATAGGCTACAATCATATTATTATATTTATAATTACCAAATTTAACTGTCAATATTATCTACACACACCATATTTCCTATATTGCCTTATAGCTTTGTTTGAGCCTTTAATTTTCATGATGAAAAATTTGCACTTTATATGTCAAATTTTCATTTAGAAATACCCTGAACAAGATGAAGCTGATTATTATTATTGTGAAGGTCAGGACATAAGTTCGCTTCTTGGCTTTAGAAGTACTGCCAGAAATTAGATCAAAATTCGCAATTTATCAGAAATTTTTGATCGTAAGGCACTCAAAAATTCTACCTTTTTTCATATCTATTTATATCACCATTATTTTTAAATTTCCAAAAGTTTATTTGCATAAACATACAGCGAATTAATTGCTTATGATCACTAATTAGCGAAATATATAATGAGTTGAGGAACTTGGTCGATCGTTGCTCCTATTAAAATGATAAATAAATATAGCTAAGGCGTCTGAACTTAAAATTTTCAAGCACTAGAAGATTGAAAATTCTACTGGTAATATCCAAGGCTGAGAGATTTTTCATGAGAAGTTTTGGAAAAGCTTCTTTAAACGGTGAATAAATTCAATCTTACGAGCTTTATAATCTTTTCTAATTCAGCTTAAACTTTTTCTTCGATTTCTTGGCCATCTAAAAAAATTTTAAATCATTCTTCTAATCATCGTTAATTAATTTATGTAGAGCAGTATGGCGCAATGGCGTATATCCGCTTATTATTTATAATGCCATAATTTGGCTCTTGCCTTAGTATAATTCTTAGCTATCATGAAAAAATAGTTATGATGTTAGTTCTATGTTTCTAATGCTCTAGCAAAACAGTTTGATCCTAGTGGCAAATGAAACAGCCTAAGGGACTTAGCTGAAAAGATAATTGTAATATCTAATAAATTAAATTAAAAATATATAAAATGTTAAATTTATAAAAGTATATAAAATGTTAAATATATAAAAATATATAAAAATTTTGAAATTTAACTTTATTATGAAGTTTACTATTATGAATTAATAATCCAGATGATGTTGGTGATCATCTATACTTCTATAAGTCGTCAAATCAAGTGGCTTTCTGGCAAAAATTATAATTTCTAACAGTCAATTTTCTAGCGGAAATGAAGTGCTGGTTACTTGCCCTCGTTTTGTTAACCCTATTACTACCTCGATGAGTGCAGTTTAAGTGCAAAAATTTATTTCCTTGCTATTTCCTTGCTATTAGGTACAATAGGCATATTTAATGCTTCTAAAGAACAGTATAGAGCGACACAGATTAATCAATGGAGTCCAAATTGAGAAATAGGTTTCTGAGGTTACATGGAAGAATTTTATTCAGGGTGACTCCGCTTGGACTGCTTAATGAGGCAGCCATGTAAATTATTATTTATATAAGCGATTTTCAATTTAATTTAAACGAACTGAATTGTGATAATATGGTTGGTTGATGAATGCATACATGAATGATAGATTGTATAAGTTTGTTTGATTTGATTTCAACAATCTTGTTTTACTAATTTCCAATTAAAGAATGCGTCGATTTTCTTATGAAATTGTTCCTGTTTTAGACCTAAATAATTTGGAAACCGCAATCTGATTAACTGTTCTTTAAAGATTCTTCTCTTCTTGCCACCCTTTAATCGAATATTATTATTTGTCATTCTTAAATTTTTTTTCATTTATCAATTCCAAACTTTTATAAATCTAACTTTTTGCCTACTATAACCAATCGTTTAACACGTGCTTCTTATCACCTTATCACTATTTTTTATATATTACGTAATATCAATAATCATGCACGATATTGATTTATTATTTATTTGTACTGAAATAGCTGAATGATAAAAGAATAAATTCATAGAAATTTTATTCTATCACGAGAAATGTTTAGATTACAAAATAATCGAAATAGTGGTGGAGAAAAGCAGTTCGTACTATAACTTTTTTTAATCATATCTCTTTTATAAATTCACTGAATAAGATTTTTTATTGTATTTTACTTTTTTTATTATCACACAATGTTTAGTTGCCCTCTTTGTCGAGAAGTTTTCTCATGAAAATGTTCCGGACCTAAATAAATTGGAAATCACAATAGTTGATAACCGAGCTGCAAGCTATACTGCCAGAATGAGATCGTTTTGCCAGAGAATTACTTAAGGATTGAAGTAGAAATGGTTGACCACCATCCGAATTTCGCTTCATTTTAAAACACCCGTTTAAGGAGGAAGCCACTGCTTTCCGTTTGAATAAATTATTAAATATTTTTAATATTAATATTAATATTAAATAATTTTTAATATTAATATTAAAAATTATTATTGCTATTCGCAATTTGGACAGCTTCATTAAGAAATGATGAAAAACAGAAAATGAAAAATATCGTACAAATGCAAAAATTCCTTATCATAAATATTAAACTTGCGCTATCGACAATCAATGCACTACTTGGATTATTCGTTCAACGTAGCGAGCCAGCGAAACGGACTTAGCTGATCATAATATTAAATTTGCTAATCATTTATCGTTTCGTTTCGGCTAAAACTTTAACGTACGATTTAATATTTATTTGTTTTTATGATCGAATATCATTAAATTTTCAATACAATTTCTTTCAGCTTAAAGGGTTTTCACTGCTTATTCATGCGATATGATTTCTAAAGAGAAATGCTGCTGAAGATGGGTATATTTTCTATAGGTCCAACAATTCTCTTCTTCAATTTCCTCCTTATACAAGGTTCCTTTTCAATTTCGATTTCTTTTATTCACAATTTGCATAAATTTTTTTGTGTACAAAATCTTTTGCTAAAATCTATTTATTTTTATTATTTCAATTCCAATCAACGAATAAAAATTTGCATCAATCTTTTATAAAATAAATTTAAATTCTATGCGAATCATTTCTCTTTCAAAAATCTTCTGCGCATTTTCTTAAATTTGGAAATTTGTGACAATTAGCGATGCTTTTAAAGAAAAATTAAAGAAAACTGTTTATAACGGATAGAATTTTATTTATAGGATTCAATTAAAACATTTTAACCATCTCTCTTAATTATTCTTTCAATTATTTAGAAATTTTGCACGATTGTTGAACTTTGATTTTTTTCTCATTCTGGTAGTTTCAAATTTTAAGGCCGATTGCTTTAAGCATCAAAAACGGTTGCCCAACTGAAACGCCTTTTTATACGATTTCAATTTCAGGCTTTATTCTCTTTTTGGCATATTTAAATTATATACAATTTATTCAGAAAATTCTTGTTTTTATAGCGAAAAAAAGAAAATTAGACAAAAGTCAAAGATTACGATTGAAATTTTATCCTTCAAGAAATCTAAAATTTTTAGATTCTTAAAAAATTTATTAGAAAAAGGCTGGAAAGTAAAGAGAAATTTTGAGGCGAAAATATTTTTTCAAATCGGCAATAATTTTATAAAACTTCCATATATCGGAACGACCGACATTGGTCATCTTTGCGCTTCATTTTTTTACTAGAAATATGCTTTTTTTCACTACGAAGAAGGAATAAATAATCTTTTATTTTTATTAGCTAATTTTTATCAAAAAAAACTAAGATACCTATCAGAATTCTCCCAGAATTTTTTGAAATTCATTTCGGCTATTGTGCCAGCAGTCAAATAGTTTATTTTACCGGACGAGGCTGAACTGCAAATTCGTTCTTTGTATGCATTTCGTATTTCTCTCAATTTCGTAATTAATATTGTTAAAAAAATTAGAAAAATGAATTTCCGTTCGATTAAAAATAAATTTTATTTCAAAAAAAAATTTTTTTTTATAACATTGCGATCTTAAATTGTTTTATTTTTACTTTAATGAACATTTATAAAATAATATTTATTTATTGAAAAAATATTAATAAAATAGCCTAAAGAGACATTCTTGCATCGACTAATTTCGCTTTTTCTTTGCTGAACAAATTAACTGATTAAGAATAGCGAATCCCTTAAACACGTTTTAATTAGTATTATCTATTGAAAAGAAGGAAGTGGTTAGCGCTCACCATTTCTGGTTGGACTCACTTCGCTGGCTGCTAGTACAGTTAGAAATTTTTGCCAGAGAATCACTTTGCTGATAGAAGTGCAGGTAGTACCACTCTTCCATTAATCGTTCAATTGCCCTGGGTTTGGGGCAATATTAAGTATGCAAAATTTCTATAAATTTCTGTTATGTTTCAAAAAACAGGAAATTTAAATTGGAATTATTCATCAAAATTCTATTCTAAATGGAAGTTAAACTTTAAAAAAGTAAATTTGGACTTATTTGAAAAATTATTTTAAACATTAAAAAAGTACAGTTTCCTTTTCTTATTTGAAGAAAGTATGATTAAGAGGAATGAACGAAGAAAAACGGTTAAAAAATGATGAATGATTGATTTTGATGTAACTAAGAATTTCTCTGAAAACTTCAATTCAAGGACAGTTTGGCCAAATGTATTTTGTTTAGATCAGTTATTCTAAACTTTTTAAACTTCTTTTCATTCATTTTAAGCCTTTTTAGGCTAAACTTTCTACTCTTTTCTCTCCTTTAAATTCCGGAAAATTATCGAAGGTCTCGTAGAAGCTTTTATGTAGATTTTCACAATTTTCACAGTCCTTGAATTACAGAAATTACAAATGAGTAATTTTTAAATATAATTACTATTATATTGTTGCAATATTCTCTAAAAATTCTTTGAAAAAGCATCGAAGATTTTTCTTAGGATTTTTCCTAAACTCACTCCTTGGACTATTGCCGTAAATCTCATTCACTATGATCTCTGGCTAGAGTATATTTGCTATTAACAAATCCGGGTGTTCCGAAGTGGTTGCTTGGCAAATTTTCAAAAGCCAATAAAATAAATCCAATAAAAATAAATAATTTTGAGATCTCATTTATTTAACTTATTATTATGTGAAATTTATTAAAATTTAAATTATAAATTTAAATTCAAAAAAAATTCAAAATTAATTTTGTAATATCAAATAGCAATGAAACGGGAATTTTTTAACCGAAACTGGATTCATTTGGCAATCTTTCTTTTTTTGTAAAATTATTTTTGCTATGCCGAAGAAACAGGAATCGAATTGAGAATTTAATTTATTTATTCTATTTTTTTCTATGAACCTTTTTTCAAATAAACAATCAACACAAATTCTGTCGACTTTTCATGCTTGTAAATATTTTTTTTGTACGGTTTTCTAGAGATAAAGCAAAGATTTTCAAGGAAATGGAAATAAATGGGGCTAAGTAATAATTAATTTTAATGAATGTCACAGGTTCAACCGATGGGCGTTTACGAAGGGATACTGGTGGATCTCAGAGCCTTCTAACTGTCGAATGGGAAGGAATACAAACGGGTGACCATCCTGACGATAGCGTCGGTGGATTTGCGGTTGAATACCGTGCAGAAAAAGATACCCAATGGCATGTTCATGACGGTATCATTCCTTATAAAGGACCTAATTTACAGTATAGGGTTCAGGTTCGTGAGAAGTTAAAATTTATTTATTTCGTTTATTTCTATCAACAGTGAACAAAATTATTTTAAAATATTCTTTTGCATGTAATTGATACATCAACTTGTTGGAAAATTCGATGGAACTAGTATAGTCAAGTATAATTCTGTTTGGACTCAGTTTGTTGTTTAAGTTACATATATCTTTTGCTAAGTGAATTTTACTCAAAATGGTGAATGGCCGGCACATTTCTACCAAATTTCTAGCTCCATAGAATATGGAATAATTAATAATACGAATTGGAATAAAATAAATTTCAGCTTAAGAAGATTATCGCATTTTTAGATTCCTCGGTTACCAACTGGTATTGCTTATTTTGTTCGAATTAAAGTTTTGGGCAAAAATGGCAAAATCCTTGTTGAAACTCCTGAAATAAGAGCGAGAAATGAGATGGTCAGTATAAAATGTGAGTCAGGTCAGTAAATATTTTTCAACATTTTCATTGAATTATGACGTGCTAAAATATTAATTTTAATTGTTGCAGAAGATCTAACATCACCGAGGAACTTAGAAATCACTCAAACTGGTCAATATAGTATTGCTATATCTTGGGAGCCTCCAGAGTGTGGTTCTGTGGGAGAATATCACATAGAAGTATGACTTAATACCAATTTAAAGTTTAAATCTGCCAGTTCATCAATTGCAAGACTTAGACGACAAAGCAGAAAATTTACCTAAAAAGTTCATTTAGTAGTATTGAAAGTTTAGAATAATATTTTTTTAATATTTATTTTAGCTATCAGGTGCAGACATGATGTTCGATGTACATCGACAAACTGTTACACATCCATCAGTGAGTGTTACCAATCTCTTACCAGGAACGAAATATCATATTCGTATAAGAGCCGTGGATCGAGCGCATAATCTTGGACCATGGAATGAAGAAGAACTCAATGCACAGACTGATGGAAATGGTTATCAGTTTTATCAATAATTTCACTAATTAATCTAATTATTTATAATACATTTGCTTTATTAAACAATACTGTTTTATTGCAGCACCAGACATTTCGGAAGATATTGATATCGATTATCGATCAGATACAGAACTTCGAATAAGTTGGGCACCTTACAGTCAAAAAGAACCTGAATATTATGAGGTCAATATTTCTCAGACTGATTAGCTTTTCATTATCATCCCATTATTATTATTATCATCCCTTTGCGATATTATCATTTATATTTATCATTCCTTCATTCGATTGACAGATTGCTTTCAGGTCATGGCTGTTGAAGTTGACAGTGACGAACGATCAGTTGAGCGAACTCGCATCGAACCTTATTTAGATTCTTTTATGTTTGGTGGTTTAAAGCCAAATACGGAATATCATATAGGCGTCGTAACTTTTGTCAGCCATGAACCAGTGCTAATCTACAAGCTTTTGTCAAAAACTGCTCCCATTCCGCCGGTTTCATTTACATCACAACCAACCGTTGCTAGCGAAGGCGCTCATAATATATCGCTTCATTGGAAAAAGCCCGATGTTGAACAAACTATTGAGAATTTCGTTATTGAATATAGATTGCCAAATGAAACAAAGTAAGTGCAGGTGATATTTAAAACGAGGAAAACGAGAAACGAGTAAAAGTAAGCCAATATTAAGAAAGGCTAAGCGAGGGTTCCTCAAGAAAACTTGGAATAGCTAAGCCTATTTAAATAAATGAATGAGTTCATTAAAATTTTCTATTTACAGTTGGAGGAAGTATGGCGATATGATCTTTGACGATGACACAGAAATTTATAAAATTGCTGTAGATCGAGTACCTGATTCAGCTCTTTATTCAGTACGCATATTAGCCGTCGACGACCATCTCAGGCTTGTGGCAAAAACTACTGAAGTATTTCTAACTGAGTCATAATTTTATAGTCGTTTTCGTTGCTCCTAATTTATGAAGAGAAAAATTTGAAAAGTTATGAGCTTATTTCAGATTGCTGTTGGAGAAGCTGCCTCAGAATCATGTGCGGGAGAAGCTGGTGTTCCACTTAATGTTCATGCTAGTTATGTTTCAGAGAGTACAATTCAGTTCACATGGGGTAAACCAGAATGTGACGAAACTTATGGACCAATCGACGGTTACGAATATTTAGTAAGAATTCAATACAAGAATTTCGTCAGTGATTTCTGATTTTTATTTTCTTTTTTCTTAAAATAGTTATTTAAAAAAAAACACTTTCAACTTTTAACAATTTTGAAAAACTGAATTTTTGTAAAGTTCTGGAATGCTGAAAGTGATTCACAATCGGATGTGGCATCTTATGTTGGACGCACTGCGGTTACTCTCAACGATCTAACACCGAACACGCGATATGCGTTCCGGGTCAGGTCACGCGCCGGCCATGGATATAGCACATGGAGTGATATCGTACACACTACCACCGAAACTCATTCTGGATCGTTGGGTATAGCTATTATTTTTGATTATTCACTACATTTCGGCAATTAAGTTTTAAAACCATCTGAAAGGCATAATCTAATAAATTAAACCACAAACATTGAAATCACTTATCATCTATTTTTTCACATTTTTACTAACAAATTTTGTCGTGTCCATCGGTTTTGTGGATTTATTTATCAATAACTCACGTTCACTCTTCGTTATTGTTTCTTTAAGAACAAATTTCGATTAATATGCTTCATACGTAACTAACTATTCCAGACGATCGACGAGGAAAGCGTCAAGAGAAATCACATATCACAGGTAAATAAGGTAAATTATATCAAATTGTCGGAGTCCGTTGTGATAGTTGTTTGCCAGATTTTTAGACATGATAGTAGAATTGTTGTCGTTCAGATTATCGCACTAAGGGCCTGTTGTTTTGTTCGGATCCTGACTCCATTAGGAGTGAATTTGCCATTAAAAATTTGCCCTGGTGGTGCTGGCCACCGAATTTTTATCGCCAAATGGCTCTCCGGCATAAAATTCTTACTAAATGCCTTTGAAGTTAGCCTAACCAGAAGTGGTGAACAGCTAACAAAGCAAAAGATGCAAAGCGTTCAGCAAGTGCCAGTACTCGTTGACATTTATGTTTATTGTCTAACTAAGGACGAAATCCAAGAGGCCATTTACACTTGATGAAAATTTTGAGACCGATTCATTTCACTTCTTATCATGTATAAATTGCTTTTACAAGCTAAATAGAGTAACGGTTCGTGCTATTTGAAAGTTCTCCACAGTTTGACTAATTAAGACCTTACTTTTTTGCTGAAAGTTTTTGGCAACAAATTCGATTAAATTTTGATATTTAAATATAATAGAGCCAGTGTAAAGCGATGATATGCATTAGGCCAAAATATAAATAATTCTATAATTTAAATCGCTAACTCCCAATTTTTTTTAAATTTCAAAATAAATTTTATTTTATTTATTTATAAACAATTATGGAAAAGCATAACATGAACTTCCTTTCCTGGTCGCAGAAATTTTTTTTGGAAGGGATCGAAAAAATTTCAGCTTAGGCACTCGGCAAGAAACGATGTTTGCCTAAGGCCGTAAAACTTAATGTGCCCATGTAAGTCCATCTAATGTGAATTCTAGCGATATTTTCTAATATGCAATAATCCGCTAAAAGTTAACTTCCGTTAGGTACATAAACTTTATGTCCAGTAAATTTATTTGAAAAATTTCTGGTTAACTCGGTTAGCCTGTAATATATGCCTATCACAATAATTTTTCTTATAGATGCGAGAAACATCTATCAATTAAGAATCGTCTTATCTCCGCCAAATTCATATCTTGTGTGGACACCTTTACAGGAACATCAGAAAGATGTTGCAGAATTTAAGTAAAAAAATTAAAATTAAAAAATTAAATTAAATTTGAAGTCTAAAAATGTCATCTGATCAAGTTTCTTTCAACTTTTGTGCAGTTAAAATTTGATCTTATTGAATCTTGAAGAAATTTTGAAATGAAAAGTTATCGTTTAGGTTATCATATAAAATTAGTTCAAGTGCCGAATGGACAAGAATTATCAAAAAAGCAGACGAGTTTACATGCCCTGAAGGCATTGCAGATTCAGAGGATTATTGCTTCGACCTTTCAGAACTGAAGTATGGCGTTCAATATACTGCAGACGTAAGTGCATGAAATTTAAAAAAACGGATTTACAGAAGATGGCAGCGATTAAGCCAACAAATGTTGATAAGGATGGACACTAACACTAACATGCAATTGATTAAAAAAAGTTTTCAGATTGTATATAAACTTAAAAGTGGAGAATGGACAACGAGTGGGAGTCCGCTATTCTTTATTTTAGTTGAAGCTGGTTAGTCCTGACAAATCAACTATAACAAACTTGCCTTCATAGCGCGTTTTTCCTATATTTCCATAGCATGCTTTGAAAGTTTACTTTTTCTGTAACATTTTACTCCTATATTTTTAGGATGTTTCCCTGTTGTATATCCATCCTATGCTTTTTTTTAAAATTTATCATCTCTTGTATTTCCTTGTTCCTACGCACAAATTTCAGGTGAACCAACCACACCATCATCGCCAAACAATTTACAAATAAGCCCACGTGATTCTTCAAGCGTCGAAGTTCGTTGGCTACCACCTCTTAGCTCTGTTCACATTCACTATTACCAGGCACAATATTTTACCGTTGCTTTTGATTCGAAATCTTTCCACAAATTTATTTAACTTTTCGTGAACATTTCGCTATTTTCATCCTTTTGATTGTACTATTCATTATTTTACAATTTGCCCATTAAATTCTTGCTCTGAATTCCTGCGCTTTCCACTGGCATTGCTTTAGATAAGCGTAGAGGATGTACACTCGAAACAAATCCGGAATGAGAAAGTACCTGGTACTTATTTCGCCCACGTTGTCTCACAACTATCACCTTATTCCACATATAATATCTCAGTGCGTGGCGGTACTGAACACGATGAATTGGGTCCTGCAGCTTCAAATATTATTTCTTTACAACGCTTCATTGGTCATACTGAAAAAGAGAGCCAAGGTATAACCAAATGATAATGTGCTACTTGGCCGCAAGCTATTTTCAAACTTTCTATAAAATTTTCCATAGCTTCATGCAATCATTCCTATTTTTATTGAACTTCTTTATTTTTTAGCAGATTTATTTAATTAAAAAATGTGAACAAAAAATGTTGAAAATACACACATAGTCAAAAGTAAACTCGGCAATTCAATGTAGAAAATGCTTCAGCTTGAGGGATGCATATATGAGTAGCGTCGAAAGGCGCTTGCTTCCTTCTGGCTATATCTAAAAGTTGTTCCAAAAGTTCTAGTTACTTTTCAACTCAATTCATAAATCAATTTTTAATTGATTTAGTTCCCTCAAAGCCTTCAATCGGTATTGAAAAACCACGAATCGAGCAAAGAGGAGTAAGGACAATCGTTTATTGGAATGTTGGTGGAGATACATCTCTAATCGTAGCCTACCAGGTCATTTTTTTCATTTTCCTTTATTTAGCTATCTTTAGGAATCTATGTTTCTCTAAATTTGGTAAATCTTCTAATATTTCTGGCTCCACCAGTCATTGGAATCTTTCGCCAGATTCATTTTCTCTTGGATGTAAATCAGTCTCGAAAGCTGTAAATCGGTTTTAATCGCATTTTATTTTTAATGAAAAGCTTATTTCTATGAAAAGAAAGAAATGAAACCTTTGATGACTTGATTTTAGTCGAAATGATATATCTTCATATTTCAAGATTTGTTGGATAAGGAAAATCAGAAATTTCAAAATTTATCATAAATAAAGTTGAAAATTATAAATATAAATATATACAATTTTTTTGTGTATATTAATATATTTCGTTTTCATATTAACTGAATGGTTGAAATAATTCATTAGAATTTTTTTGAAGAAATTTTTTTTCTTTTTTCATTTCACGCTTTTGTGAATCATTATTTCAGATAGATCTTCGTGCAGAAACAGATCGAACATGGCGACAACATGATGGCTATGTGCCACATCAGCCAGGAGAGACACATTTCCGACACGAGCTTACTAATCTACATACTCATGGACGCTATTATGTCCGAATTTCCGCCATAGATTCATCGCGACGAACAGTGGCAATGTCAGAAACAACAAGCTTTACTGTTCAATGTCAAGGTTGCTGTGAAAAAAACTGAAAACTTTATTCTTAATGAGAAGTAAAGAAAGTATTTGTTTTTGCTCACTTTTTTAACGCAAAATTAGATAAATTTAGAAATGCTTACCTAAAATACAGTTTCAGCTGTAATTTTTTTTAGCACCAAGTGCTACTCCACAAAATCTTCGTTTAACAACTATTGCCGATGGTGTACTTTTGTCATGGTCATATAGTAGTGAAGATAGCATTGATTGCGAGCCATATTTTTTATTAGCTGGCTATCAAAATGGTGTGCCATTAACCGAAAAAATAGATGGACATTTACGAGAATATCATCTAAAAGGTAGCACGGTTGGCGAATGGCAGCTTGAGCTACGAGCTGGCAACCGTGTTGGCTCAGGTCCAGCTAGTGCACCTGTAAATCTCGTTACTCCATTGCAGCAAGGTTCAAAAGTTTTTGTCTATAAATTTTTTTATTTTTAAAAAAATAACGCTAAATGCCATCGGACAATATCTTCGCACTGGCATAAACGGCTGATTTTTTCAAACGCTTCTTTATTCCAGCTAATAATATTCGTATTCATCGTTCTGTCTGTGATCCTCGTACTGACTTCTGGTGTCGTCCATCAATTGACATTGTCGACCATTCCACATATCAGGAATCAGTCGAAGGTTTGACTGTGTGCCGTGTATCTCCCTGCAAGAAAAAATTTATCCTATAATTTCTGCACCAATTTTCCCTCAGAAAAAAAAAATGAAATTTGCAAAGATGAAATTTCTGAGAAAACTTACCTATTTTCATCTATTTTTGAATAGGGAAATTAATAATAGCGTTCTATAGCAAATTCTTATTTCTCGCCTTTTTCTAACCGAATCTTTGGTGGAATAAAATACAATTGATGGCACTATTTGTTCATTCTAAGGCAAATTACTTGAATGCCTAAATGCTGCATTTAAAACTTTAGAAAAGCTCGTTTTAGATGATAAAATTTTGGGAGAGCACTTTATTTTCGTAGATTCATCCCTAGATTTCGTGGATTTTTTATTGCGCTTCTTGATAAGCTTAGATACCTTAACATATATATTCCTTAATTAAGTAAAATATTCATTTATTGCTGTCTGCATTAAGCTAAAAAATAAAACATAGTATGTCACATAAATGTCTCGTAAATGCTGCATTTATATGTATATCAGCTAATCAAAATTAATCAAAATTTGTTGTTGCTTACCAACCACGCAGATTTTTTTCATAGGTGAATGCACAGATTCACGAATGGTTTGCTTACTTATACTTCTTTGTTTAACTAAATATTTGTGATAATAATAATAATAATAATAATAATAATAATAATAATAATAATAATAATAATAATAATAATAACTGCAAAGCAGATTATTTCGCTTACAAATTCAAATTCAAATTTTAACTTTTTAGCGATTGTTAGAATGGATTGGAAAGATTTAGCAGAAATTCATTCAATTTTTTTCATGTCAAGATGCTTTGTTCTTTTTTCTTTTTAACACTTTCTCTGGATGGATTATTGACTCATAGAGTACCATTTTTACCGAAGCCGATTGTTGCAAATTTTTTCAGATTTTATGAACCACCAGTTAGAACCATTTAATAAAGCCTAGAAAGGAATTTGCACTAAACATAAAATTTAAACCTAAACATAAAAGTTTTTGGGTCAGATTGATTAGTTTTTTTTTTAAATAAGATCATTATTACTCTTATTTTTCTATTTTAATTTTCTGGATTTTCTGCAGAAATATTGTAAAAATAAAAATTTATTAGAATAGAAATGGAAGATTCAAACATTCTATGTTTTTCGTCTTCCACTGATTATTGAATTTAATCAAAGAACTCATGATTGGTTTGAAGAGATTGAGTTTCACTCGCCTTATCACTCTCATTTTATTAGTTTAATCACAAAAATAATGTCGAGCCCTTGGCCCATTTAAATAACTGCCAATGATCCATTCTTTTATTCTCATCACAAATGGATTAGAATGAATTGCTTGGATTTAATCGATAGCATTGAGATGAAGATGGCTGAGCTTCTATATTTCTATCTTAAGTTGTTCGTTGAATTTTTTTTATAGACTGATTCAAAATTTTTCAGAATTAACATCTATGCCACGAATCACTGCAAAAGGATCAGATTTACTGATTGAATGGAAAAGTACAGGCAATGGCCGAGGAGTATTTGGATATCGCATCCAGTTTCGGACACCAACTACCGGCTGGACGCCTTATGGGTAATCCTTTGTGATTACTAATTGTTATAGCAATTAGCTGCCTTTGTTAATTATCCTTTTTCGACTGTTGTTAGCTGTTATTCGGTGCTTCAGACAGCTTGTTCCCTACATTGGCGACAATGAGCAGTATTCACAAGTTTTAACCGGTCTTGAGCAAGGAAACCTTTACTATATACATGTTCAAGTTTTGGATCGAAACTCATATGTTATGTATGTAAGTCCAGAGGTATCAGCAAGAATTACATGTTCGGGTAAGTTTTTATTGTAATTTCTTCTTCTTCTTCTAACAGCTCTCACTATTACTGGTTAGGCTGGCTCTTCCAAGCGGCGCGGTCTGATGCCATCGTCGACAGTAATGGAAGCCATTCCTTTTTCCATTGTCTAAGTCCATATATTGCTGGTCCACCTATACATTCAAAATCTTTTCTCACCGTATCAGTCCAGGTCTTGATTGGCCCACCTTGCTTTTGACGCCAACCGTCATACGGTTTAGCAAATAACGAAATTTGCGTCAACTCCTGTGGTGGACGACGGAGAATGTGCCCTAACCAACGAAGGCGGCGCTCTGTGATAACATTATTTATGCAAGTGGCGTTTGAACCAAGGTGGATGTGATCTTGCGAAATTTTATCCACTCGGCGAACCCATAAAATATACCTTAGACAAGAATGGTCAAAGGCAAATAACTTCTTAATATCCTCCACTCTCATTGGCCATGTCTCAGAACCATATAGTAAGGTCGAACGGATCCGTAGATGCTTTCGTTTTATGGTGATTTCACGACGATTCCATAAAGGTTTCGTCAACCGGAAAAACGCATTTCTAGCTGCCGTGATCCGAGTTATAATATCATCTTTTGTCTGTCCATTTGGTATTAGAGTGGATCCAAGGTATTTGAAATCAAGCATTTCCTCAACCGGCAATGAATTTACAAAAAGAGGCATTTTATCAGCTTCTTGCACACAAGACGAAAAGACTTTCGTTTTATTTACATTGATCCTGAGTCGATTCTTGCTGCAGTTCCTGATACGTTATTTAGTATTACTTTCATTTCGTTATAACTGTCAGCAAAAAGGACTAAATCATCAGCGTATTCAAGTGATACGATGCTCTGGACTAATTAGGACATCCTCTTGAGTGCCGACAAGCAGTGTCCATTATCCAGTCTATCGCATAGTTGAATATTGTGGGGGAAAGGACGTAGCCCTGACGGACACCTGTTTTTATTTCGAAGGAATCTGTCAGCTCCCCATATACACAGACCTGCGCCGACGTGCGCTCATAAAATGCCTTTATCTGAGTCTAATGATTTTCTCTGTAACACCATCACCCTCCAAAGCGCCACTCTATCATTTGAATCAAAGGCAGCCGCAAAGTCGATTAAACACGTGACAGTGGGTTGCAAATATTTGGAGCGATGTTCCAACACCTTAACATGAATATCTGGTCAGCACAATCGCGCTCTGATCTGAAACCAGCTTGATTAGGGCGCATCCTGCTGTCTCGTACTTTCATAAGTCTGTTGAGTAGCAGGGAAAAATTTTTGCTGAGACGTCTAATAGGCTGATTCCTCGATAATTGTCACAACATGTCCTATCACCTTTCTTGAGAATTGGGAGCAGAGGAGGAGAATTGCTTTGCTCCAATCTTTTTTCCATACTAAAGAATACATTTGTTGAAGGTGCGTTATGAAGGACAATGGACAGCCTTTGAAAAGCTCAGCCCGAAGACCATCTTCTCCTGGAGTTTTGTTGGCCTTAAGCTTATGGATAACTGAAATTATTTCTTCTTCTGTTAGAGGCTCGCAATTGCAAACGTATGCTTCGGCAAACATATCAGCTAAATCAGGGGCAACAGATGGCGCTTCATGGTTATGTTTGGTCTCAAAGAATCTCAAAGAATTCTTTCCATCTTATGAGGCGATCCTTAATACTTTTAATTAGTACGCCATTGCTGTCTATTACCATTTCACTGATCGTTCCCCGAGTCATAGTTGCTTCCGATACCCAACTAACGATGGAGAAGGCAGAATAGTTTCCTATTGTCGCTTAATCGAGTCGCCACCTCTATTCTTGAGGCCATGTCACTCCAATAGAGATTTCTATCCCGCCTTGCTGCTTTCGTTGCAAATCTTCGAAGTACCTGGTAGTCAGGATTACCTGACATTCGTGCTTTGGCAGCTTTTTCAGACAACTGGACAGTTGCTTCCGATACCCAACTAGCGCTTTTCCTACTACTAGTATGCCCTAACGTGGAAGTGACCAATTTTCGGAAAAATTCCTTTAGTTTGCACCAGTGTTCATTTGCCGTTCCAGAAAAATCATTGATATTTGTATTGATCATTGAGATGCTTCAATAATTCGATTTGAAATGCGCTCATTGTCCCCGAATTTTTTAGTGTTTGAGATTAATTGAAGGATCTTGGAGGATGTTGCTTTCTGCGAGTTGTCAATTTTATGCGGATCATGGTTCGAACCATAACATGGTCAGATCCATGAAGATTGCTCCGCTATAGGAACGACTATCTATTACAGAACTTTTCCAACGGCGATTGACTAAGATATAATCAATCTGGTTGATGTGCTGGTTGTCTGGGGAGTTCCACGTGACTAGATGTTTTCTATGATGCCCGAAGCAAGTATTGGTAACAAAAAGTTCATGCTCTTCGGCATAACGAAGAAGACGTTCCTCATTGGTACACCGGTCTCCGATGCCATATTTACTAATTGTTGAGGTCATCGCAGCTGCATTATGACCTACACGAGCATTCCAGTCTCCCCCGATTATGATCATGTTATGTTTCGGTAGAGACTTTGTTAGCAGTTGAAGTTCCGCATAGAACTTGTCTTTATCACGGTCATCTGCCGACAGCGTTGGAGCATAGACACTGATGACCGAGATATTGCAGAACTTACCCTTAAAACTAGCATAGGCCATACGGTCGTTTACCGGTTTCCACTTAATCAAAGCGGAATGGGCCGTGTCAGACATGACAATCGCTACGCCATTTCATCCCGAGTTATTCGAAGCACCACAGTGATATAGCCAGTATCTCTGCTCTGAACCAGGATTTATAATTTCTCGAGACCCAAAGTAAGGAAGATGGACCTCCGACAAGCAAGCGATATCCACATGATATTTAGACAGGGTGTGGACAGTGATCGCTTACAACGTTAATAAGCGTTCCACGCTGATACGGCTAATACCTCGCCGCGCTTGCAGAGGGCTGTTTCCCTTCTTGATAGGTTTCGAGCAATTACCCTGGCTTGAGAGCACATTTTATTTACTATCCTTGGGATCGCTTTAAGCCGGATTGTATATTTATCGCATGTACCACGGGGTTCGAAGTATCATGCGCGTCGGGAGACGCGGATGCCGTATGAAGTGTATTTGACCCTTTCACCACAGAATCACTTGGGGATAGAGTTATAGGTGGGTCCCCAGCAGCCACCCGAATTTTTTCATTTTTATTTATTATAGAAAAACTATTTGACATAATAGCAGGTTTACTCCTGCCAAAGACAAAAAAAAAAATTAAATATTGTAATTTGGTACTCATTAATTTGGATATTTACTAAGATTCATAGATTGGCTTTGTTATCTTATTAGAAAGCTTAGTGAGATGATAGTCAAGTGATATTTGAAAACTGATATTGCACTTCTCAGAAAATTGTATCTCCATTCAGCTCCAACACATCCTCCGTCGCATCTACAAATTGAAGCGCCTGATGCGCGTCATATTCGCGTGACCTGGATGCAAGTACCGCAAAGTACATGGATGTGCAATGAAATTCAGATTGAACTTGAAGTAACTGAGCCAACCAGATTGCCATTGGTAATTCTTGATGGACGTCAAACATCACACGTTCTAAATACGCAACCTAACCAACAATGGTCTGTTCGCGTACGTACAAAAAATTCAGCGGGTCATTCTCCTTGGTCCCAAACAGTTTCAACGCGTACAGCACCAGCAGGAGAATTGATAATTGGACCTACAGTAAGTTTCCGACAAGGTATTCCAGTGCTTACATGGAATAGCTTGGAGCGTGTCGAAGATATAGTTAAATCTTATCAAGTTGAATGGAGATCTTCGGTCAGTCCGTCTTGGCAAAAGTATCGGGAATCGGTGAGTTTATTTCCTATTTATTGCACTGTTAATGAAGATTTCACTGTAGGCCTTTCATGAAAAACTTTAATTATTTGTTCTGTGAAAGATTTTAGGTACCATACACTGGCTGGCAGAGGCCATATACAATTGAAATGAAAGATCTTGTTCCTGGTCAGTATTATCAAATCCGCATAAACGCTATAGATGCAAATAATGCAGTATCTTATACAACATCCGTGGTAAACGTACAGGCACAAAGAATGTGCAGCCCACCTCGACGAGCACCAATAAATGTTCATGCAACTGCCATTGGTCCCACCCAAATTCGAGTTTCTTGGCATGTAAGTAATTTTCAACCTTTCTCTTAAGCACTCATTATTTCTGGTTTTTCTTTCGACTTGTCCCACTTCTAGGATGCCAGAAATAGAAATGATTCCGTAGGATCCGGACTTCATTTTTTCTGGCAACGCACCAGAGGTATTCGAATCTACCACTCTTGATCCTAATAGAAGTAATTTATCACTTATCACTCTGACTCTGACTCCTTTGCTTCAAATATGAATTTCGACTACTCATTGCAAGACAATAAGAAAATAAAAAGCAAAATCCAGCAGAATTTCTGTTTAAATTTGTCGAATAATTGGGCATTTGAATATTCAGTCTAATTTGATTTGAATTATTGATATTTTAGCCGCTCCATGAAACTGAATGGAACTGTGACCAAATATGGTACGTAGTCAAATATAGCACACCTAGAGACCAAGGTTTTCGTAATCTAACGAGAGGTGAGAACCAGGTGGTGTTTGATTCTAAGCCATTTACTCAGTGGACATTTGAAGTCCAAGCAGCAAATCCAGCTGGAGAGTCAGTTTGGTCGAAAAGTGTCACTGCACAAACCCAGGGAACAGGTATAAATTTTTTATAAAAAAATTCTATAGATAACCAGAAAATTGAGCGAGTGTAGCAAAATGTAGCAAAACTCAATATTTCAAAAGCAGCTGATCTGAAATATGACGATCTGCAGTTATAGATTTTTATTTATTTAAAATTTTTAGCTCCTGGTCCAATATCAGATCTTCGCATTTACACCATATCACCAGACTCACTCCAACTTTCTTGGAGACCCCCAGAAAATCCAAACGGTCAAATTACAGGCTATGAAATTACCTATCAGTTACTATCAAAGTAAATTATCCTCTTATTTGTAAATTTTTTTTACAAGCGCAAATATTAGTTTTGATTTCCATTATGAACCATTGAATATTTATAGAGGACTTTGCGACCAAGTTAGCGATCGACCAATTACAGTGACAAGTAATAGGCCATCATATACATTACGCGGACTATCACCGCATTCGAATTACCGCATAAGTGTAGCTGCTAAGACGAATATTGCAGGTTGAATTTTGATCCTTTGTCAACTTAAAATTCCGTGAATCTAGAAAAATTCCATTTTCTCGCAGTATTTCATCTAGCCTTCAGATCTTTTTTTTAGGTGAACCACTGTCGCAAGAAGTTCAAACAGACCAATCAATTCCAACAGCTTCACCTTTATATATACGATCTGAAAGCAAAACACATGATACTTTGGATATTAGTTGGCAAGCACCACCATGTATCCATACTAATGGTGAAATCACAGAGTATGAATATGAAATAAAGGTGGCAGATGGTGATCCATCGCAAAAACCTGTTGTCAATACGGTCAGGGGAAACACACGTACAAGAATAAGTGGTCTTCGACCGTTGAGGAAATATTATGTTCGCCTACGTGCCTATACTAGGAAAGGGCCAGGACCTTGGTCGCAACCAGTCATTATGCAAACTGCTCCTTCTCAAGAAGTTTGCATTTTTTGATTCGTAATTTACTAAAAGAAAATAATTCAACTTTTTTCTTGTGCCACATCTGGCTGATGTTAAATGAAAATTTTTAACAAACATAAATTATTCTGGAAAAAAGCTTCCTGAATTTTGGACAACATTCCAGATCTCTCCTCCACCAGTTGTAAAGTTGTTAACGGCGGATTCAAATCAGGCTCATCTACTTTGGCAAGAACCAGATAAGGCTTATGGTCATGTGGATAGATTCAAATGTCAATATTCAGTTGTCGGTACCAGAGATTATCGCGAAAAACAATTTCCAGCAACAAATCCATGTTCGAAAGAGATTAGTCGCATAGCAGGACTACCCGTTTCGCCTACTGGTCCACGTTGGCATTGTGGCACTATTGGTGGATTACAGCCAGAGAAAGAATATGAATTTCGGGTACTTTTACTTTAGTAATTATTGTAGGGATCCAGTTCAATAATAGCAAAGATAATCATATTATTTCAGGTCTCAGCAGGTAGTCCAGATGGAGCATGGTCGCCTTGGAGCCGGCCTGAGAAAGGTTCCCTTAGTGAAGAACCTGTCCAGATCCTTTCCATTCAAAAAATAGGCGGAAGTGCGACAAATTTACAAATCGTCTGGAATATAAAACCAACAGATATATCACGTGTCAGTGGATTCCGGATTCATGTTGCACCTTTAGAATATAGAGCTCAGCCACAGATATTCACTGTCGACCGTTCAACAATGCAATACCAAGTAGATAATTTGAAACCGAATAGCGATTATAACATAACTGTAGAAGCTGCCGTTGGATCGAGATACCATTCTGGAACAAGCGTACGAATGCGGACGGATTCTTTATCGCCTACAGATACTTTGTTGCGACCAAAAGTTATTGAAGAACAAGCAACTTCTGTTACTGTTGAATGGAGTGCACCACGCATAGATGTTGGTGGATTCATTGTAGAGTACCGTCTGGGCGATGGCGTATGGCTGGAATATCCGAAGCGAATTCCTGCATATCCTGGTCGCCGAACATATACTGCTAAAGTAGAACAGGTATTGCATAAATTTTTATTTTTAACCTTTCACAATTTTATTATTTTTAGTCGAGGTTTTTATTAATTAAACCTTAATCAAATAATTTTTAATAAAATATATATATATATAATAATATATTTAATAAAATATAAAATAAAAAAATTAAATAAAAAGAAAATAAATAAAAATAAAAAGAAAATTGCATTAAAAAATTTTAAAACTTTGAAATTTTCTTCAACATATAAAAAAAAGCTATTATATAAGTTGCTTTATAAAAATAAAAATCAGTTTTATCAAAAATCATTTAAGCAAGAAGCACTCATTTTTCTCATTTTTCTTTCCCTTTTCCTTCTTCCTTCTAAATCTTTAAAGAATTATTTTGTGATAACATGGACTGAACTCTCTTAATCCCTAGTAAAACATGAAACTGTGCTACTATTTTTCTAGAGAATATAAAATAAAAAATAAATTTAAATAATTTTGTAATATTTGTAATATTTAATGTATAAAATTGGAAAAAATAAATAAATACAAGTAAAGAAATAAAAAATTAAAAGTTAATTAGCAAAAATTATAAATTTTTGATTTTGATTTTGTCCTGAATGATTTTTTAGTTACCCACAAATAATGCTGTGGATATTCGGGTACGTGGTGTATCCTTACAAAATGAAAAATTGTCGCCTGGGCCAGAAATTCGAGCACGCACTAAGTGCTCAGCGCCTCCATTCCCACCACAAGCTATACGAATTGATGCTCCAACTACGAATGAAGTTCGCGTTTCATGGGCCAGACCAGCGAAAGATACTTGGCAATGTGACCAATTAAATTTTGAAATTGCATATCGTGTTGGAAATGATGCTGAAAAAATCATTCCAGTTGCCGGTGACCAAACTGAATACTCTTTTCCGGCTGATGCAAACAGTCGTTGGGCCATTAAAGTTCGTTCCAGTAATCAAGTTGGTGCCAGTCCATGGAGCACAGTACAGACAATAGCAACGAAACAAGGAGTTCCTGGCTCTGTGAGAAATTTACGTCTTCGTGCTATAGGACCAAATGAAGTGCTAGTTCAGTGGTCAGCACCCATAGTTCAAAGAGGCACAATTGTTGGTTATGATATAAGTTATCGCTTAAAACATAGGCTCGCTTGTCCAGATGAAGAACCAAGAGATGTGAGTCGAGATTTTATTACAGTATATAATCACAAAGATCTTGAGTATACACTAACTGGCTTGCTTCCCTTCTCACTTTATGAAGTTCGAGTGAGGGCACGGACTACAGAACTAGGCCCTGAAGAAACAAAAGATATTGTAACTGAACAACAGCCACCAAGCGCTCCACCATTAAATCTTCAACTAGGATACGCTTTGGAGCGATCAATTAACTTCCAATGGGAAGAAGTCGAATGTTCTCAACGTCATGGTCATATTGTCAATTATGAATATGAAATTCTCGGACAAGATGATTGGGCCAAATTAGAAAGGCAAATAGCCAATACTACAAACACATATATCACAATTGATGGTCTCACGCCTTTCACCAAATATGTTATGAGAGTTAAAGCATATAATAGTGTTGGTGGTGGGCCTAACACCGAAAATCTGGATGCAATGACTTCAAAAGCTGATGCGCCTTTACCTCCACAGGATTTAGTTGTTGCTCAAGAAGGCACAAATTCATTTATGATATCATGGTTGCCACCTTATCCTCCTTATGGTCCACACGATGCGTATAAAATACGCTATCAAATTCTTAATGCAAATTCCTGGACAAATATCGAGAAAGATGTTGACGATCATCTCTTGCAATGTCCAGCAGATAGCCCTCGCTTTTGCTTTAATATTACTAATTTGGAACATGGGCAACAATATCGAGCTCAAGTAGCAACTCGAATTGAAGGTGGATCATATGGACCATGGAGTACAGTTATAATAGCCAATACGCTTCAAATCCTACCTGATGCACCAAGAGCTATCGAGTTGATAGCAAAGACACATCATTCACTCCATATACGCTGGCTTCCTCCAGCTGACCCACTTGGTCACATAACTCAGTATAAAGTCAATATTGTTTCAATGGAGGACCCTCAAGGTCAAATTATAACTCATTTAGTTGATCACCCAAATCTGCAATTTTTATTCAGTAATCTTCTTCCAGAAACGTCTTATAATGTAAGCATATCGGCTGGAACTTCCCGTGGTTTTGGGCCAGAAATATGGACCAGATATTCAACAAACCCATTTAAGGTGCCAGGCATTCTTGCAGCACCAGAATTAAGGCCAGATAATGCAAATGCTCTTGATGTTCAGTGGAATGGTGTACCAGATCCGAATGGGCGCATTCGAGGTTATATCATTGAATATCGTCCCAGCGATACCCCAACATTTACAGAATATAGCGGAATAATAGAACAAGAAGCAAATAAGGAAAAATATAATCAAAAAATGCATAACTTAAACGCCGATACTTTATATTTCGTACGCATCAAAGTGATTGATAAAAAACAGAGGATAAGTGAACCAAGTCCCGAGGCTAATGCGCGAACAGGTTGTGCAGGTTTGTTTTATTTTAATATCACCTAAATGCAAATATGTTAATTAATGACAATCTTCTTTTAACAACGAACATTTCTGGTTTACTGGCTGAATGAATGAGACCGTTTCGTCAAAAAATCACTAGGATATAGAAATGGACACTATATGGACTTTGTTTTCCAACGTGCCCCTCGTCCAATCCCTAATCATTGCTGTTTATCAGTGATTATTAGTCTTAATTTTCTATGAAATCAGAAATGAGGATCAGAAATTCGTTTTTCCATATTTTCAATATTTAATTATATTATTTAAGTTCCTATATCTCCACCGTCGAACGTTAATGTTCATTCACCTTCATCGACTCAAATAAGAATCAGTTGGCAAGCGCCTTCACAAAGCTCTTGGCGTTGTTCAAATATTCGATACAAAATTGAATATATGAATGGTACTAGCCCAAGGCACCAGATCGATGTACCAAGGTTAAATTTTGAGCTAAAATAAAGGCAATTTTCAATTACTAGAGGTAATCCATTCTTTGAGAAATTCCAGAAAGCCGTTGGTTTTTTCTTTACAAGGCAGAAAATTGATTGAATGAAATGGATTAGAAGTCGTGAGTAATTCGCTCCACCAAGTTCGAATTTCTTCTTTTCTACCTTTTCATTTTCGACATTCCTTATAGATCATAGGGATTTAAGGGAAAGGATTTACCATAGTTTTAAGGCCATAGCCAATTGTATCGCCACTATTCTGATATATATCCCTGTGGGCAATTTGAAGCATTTAATATATTGATCTGGAAGATTTGTGGGTTTTTTGCTTTTGTCTATATTCTCATATTTTTCAGTGGAGTGACGGAAAAAGTCATAGATTCAGCACCTAATACATTGTGGCGTGTACGAGTACGACTAGAAAATGATGCTGGTGCATCTGACTGGAGCAAAGAAGTTTCAATACGAACAAGTGAAGGAGCTCCGGGTACAGTGGAAGGACTAACAGCTAGATCCGATGGACCAAATTCAGCAATCGTTTCATGGAATCAACCGATACAAACCAATGGCATTATTACAGGCTACGCGGTTATTTATAGACTTAAATCGATTGGTGAATGTGGTCCAAGAAGTTCACGACCAATAACAAAAAATGTGCAAGATGAAAAACTGGTCCTTGATGGCTTGCTTCCAGATTCGACGTACGAGATATATGTAATTGCACATACTTCTCAGGCAGGGCCACAGTCTTCGCCCGTAACCTTTACTACTGAAGAATCTAGTAATTTTTTTACAATTTTTCGCAATTTTTTGCAAATTTTGGCTTCTAACAAAATACTTCAAATTCTCCAAATTTTAAGATTTTATTCAATTTTATTCATATTTGCGATTTAATTTGACTTTCATCTTTAGTTCCAACCGGACCACCTCTCAATGTCCGCATGAGTTCAGTTACACAAACAAAAGGTGACCTATTGTGGAATGAACCAGAATGTGAAATGAGACATGGAAAGATCATTGGTTATGATTATGTGTTGCAAAGTTTGGATATTTGGGCAGAAAATGAATCCGATTATACGACCTTGCAAAAAGTCTATTTCGATAAACTTGTGCCATACACTCGATATAGAGTTCGAGTTCGAGCTAAGAATTCTGTTGGACATGGACCATTTTCAGATTGGATATCATTCCAAACGCATCCATCTGGTAATAATTTCACTATAATTCTCGATTTACACACTTGTAAATTGTCCAAATTTCAAAATTTTTTAAAGTTTATTTTAAATTTCACCTTTTTATTATCGACTTTTTCCAATTTTAGCGCCTTTTGCACCATCAGATCTTGTCGAAGAGCAGTCATTCCCACATGCCATCGAAATATCTTTCATTCCTCCTGTTCCACCGCATGGATTAATCAATGAATATAGAATACGACACACACCAACGGGACAAGTGAAATTTTTTTAAATTTGCAAATCAATAAGAGGGGGTAATTGTAATTTCAGTATGTAAGAATTCTTTGCAAGTTTTCTAAAATAACTCGGGATCAGTTTTAATTTCATTTTTTTAGCGCAATTTCAAAGAAGTTCGTGTAGGTGTCGAGCATTTGCAATGCTCAGATTCCAGCAAAAAGAATCGTCTTTGCTATCGAGTGGTCAACTTAGATCCTGAACTTGAATATGAAATACAAGCTGCTGCACATTCTGTTGGCGGTGGTTGGGGAACATGGAGTGAACCACTTTTAGCTAGCACTCATGAACAAAGTACGGCCTTTTTCTTTAATGAAGCCCCCCATAATTAGAATTGATTTTTGAAAAATAAATTTAACTATTCAATTTATATATGTAGATATACCCGTGTTGGAGCGCGAACTTGAGGTAGTCGATATAAAACCAACCAGTATTACAGTTCGTTGGAGAGGACTCGACGGTGATCAAGTAAGGAAAATAATCATTAATTGTAAAAAACTGTGTTAGAAACACAAAAAATATTTAAGATCCCAAAAATTACCATGAATGATTCAAATGTTATTTTCGTGCGATATCATTCCATTCGCTTATTTTTCTTGGGTCAGAAATTAGACCTTTGGAAATTCCATTTCATAATTTACTTTTTTCTAGTTGAAAAGTTGAAAAAGTATAATACTATTTAAATTTTAAATGAATAGGCCGCACATATTGTTGGATATGTTGTCGAATATAAATCAGAGGCTGATGATGATGAATGGAAGGAATACAATGGAATTACGAAACATAAGCCTCGAATGAATGAATATAAGATAAACGTTCGACAGTTGGAATCCGCAACTGAATATTTCTTCCGTTTGAAAGTGGTTGGGAAAAACGACAAAAGAGGATCACCTGGTCCAGAAACAAAGGCAACGACACTTTGTGGAAGCAAGTTTTAGAAAAACAATAATTCAAGCATACTAAAAATTAAAAGTATAGTGAAAATTTTTTTAAATGGGTTCTAATAAGTCTTTTCTTCAGGACCGGAAGCGCCACCAGAAGAGGTTAAACTTGAACCTATTGATTTCGAAACACTAAAGGTGTCATGGCGTAAACCAGAAAAAACGACGTGGAATTGCAAGGACGTCGAATATTTGATTGAATTTGTAAACACTACTTCTCGAGGTGTGATTAGTGCGCCATCCGATTCGAAAGAAATGTTATTATCAACCCTTCCCGGTACAAAATGGGATATAAAAATGCGAACTCAAACACTTGAAGAGGGTTATAAGCCAAATTACAGTCCTTGGAGCGACCGTGTTACACTCATTACTCAGGCACTACCCGGAGAAATCTTTGTTAAAGTAGAACCAAAAGGTCCTGAAACTGCTCATGTCATGTGGGACTTAGCAGATCAAGATCAAAAATGGAATTATGGCGTTGATATAACATATAAATTGAAACAACTTGGAGGCTGTGCAGAATCTCGCAGTGGTGATCATGAACCTATTACAAAATATAACGTGCAAGATAAATTAATCATTCTAGATGATTTGAAGCCTGGTTCTGAATACGAAATAATCGTAACACCTCGTAGGCCGCCTACGTTGCATTCTTCTGTAGTTTCACCCAAAACTGTTCGACGATTCCGCACAAAAACGGATCTACCTTCTGGTCCACCTATGAATTTACGTGTTGATTCACGTAGAAATACCGAAATTGGCTTTAAATGGGATCCGCCCGTTTGTGCATCACAGAATGGAAAAATTACACAATATGAATTCGAGGTGGTAGGTGATGAAGAATGGAATGATGACAAGCGTGAAGGTGTTACTCCTCGAACAAATGTTGTGGTTGATCAACTTAAACCTGGTTCCTTATATAATGTAAGAGTACGTGCATATACCAGTGAAGGAGCTGGACCATGGTCAAACAGCATTCAAATTAGAACAACTGGTTCTGAATTAGGACCCCCTCGAGAACTGACTGCAGTACAGACTAAAGCAAAATCTGTTCAGCTCACTTGGCTTCCACCTTATCCCGAGCGTACTCCTGTAGTGGCATACAAATTTAAATACAGCCCACGAGCGGACGATTCAAATCCCATGCTACTTGAAGTTTCGGGTGATGACCTAAGTTGTCAAGGTTATAAGAGCCCTCTTATCACTTCCGAAAATCTTTGCACAACTATCAAATCATTACAACCGGATACCACTTACAGCTTTGCCGTACAAGTAATTTTCATAAAATTTTTGATCTAAAAGATTTAAAAGATTAAAGATGAATTTCGATTATAAATGATATTTCGCGTAATATTTTAACCGAATTACTAAACAAAAAAAAAAATTCTGCAAAAATAAAATACCAAAAAAATTCAGAAACAAGAATATATTTGCTTATTATGTTAAAATTTGGTTCAGGCGCAGTCGACATCTAGTAATTGGGGTGAATGGTCCCCCACTTATTTTGCAACAACTCGATCAGCCGATGATGGGCCAATTCCTGGCAAACTTCGACTAGTTTCTGCAGGCCACGACAATCTGAGAGTAAATTGGATCGTTCCACCTGTTATACGTGAAATGATTGATCGCTATTTGGTTGCGAATTATTCACTTTTTTTTTCTGGAATGCAATTGGGAAATTTAGCGATAGATTTAATTATCTTAATAAAAAGTACGCATAGCCATATCACAGAAAAATTACTATTGATTTTTCTACAAATTTCGCTAAATTTCTCTTTGTTTTCTATGATAGCTTTAGATCTTTGGAAATAGAAGTGGATTTTCTAAGAAAAACCCAGAGAAGGTAACATTTCAGGTCACCATATCAGTCGCAAGTGCTTTTGACCAATATCCAAAAGAGTTCAATACGCCTGGTTCGCAAAATGATTTCCATTTTCGTGGCCTTGAACCTGTTACACATTATAATATTACAGTGCAAGGCCTTTCTAAAGGAAAGCATTTATGGTTTATATCTGAAATCTTTGCCACCACAGATTATGGTACGATCTTCCGCTTCATCCAAATTGCTATTAAATTATTAAATAAATACATGTTTATCGCTAAGAAGATAAATTTTTCTCTTATGCTCTGTAAAGTTTTGCATTTTGCATTTCATCAATGATTTTTTTTTGCAGCAGAAGGTCTCTTATCATGGTTACCAGCGCCTACTGATCTAAAACTCTTGGAGAAGGCAGATACGATGATGCATGTCGCATGGAGTCCACCAGAAATTTTTGATCCTCAATATAAAGATTTAATTACTCATTATAGGGTATTGCCGAAATATCAACTTTATTGGTTATGACAGATTAAGTTAAAAATGGCAGGATTTTCAAAACAATAAATTCGATTTGTTAATTTTCAGATAACAATCGCTCCATACGATAAAATTACTTCAACTACTGGGCGCATTAAAAACTATACAGTGCCATATCCGGGCACATCTATAAAGTTTGAAGATCTTAATCCAGAGACTATATATAATATCACCGTTCAAGCCGGAACCAACAGTGGCTATGGACAAATTTTGTGGGGAATTTACAGTACATTAGCTCCCGACCAAAGTCACATATTGAAACTGATTCATCGTACACCAACTACTTTAACAGTCGGATGGGAACCGACATCGAGGATGAATCAAGGCTATACGGTATGTCATTTTTGCATTTTAATAATTAAGAAATAATTTTGGATTAGAAACATTTGTTTTTATGCGATTTATTTATCATCATATTCAAATTTTCAAATTTTCAAAATTTTCGAAATTCAAATTTTTTCAGTTGACTTGGACAAGTTTACATTCTGTATTTCCGCATGTTCGACTAGATAAAATAAAATCTACAACAATCGATAGCGGCATTAGAAATTATACAATTGAAAACTTGGAGCCATCCACTATATATAATGTAACATTGCAACCAAAAGGTAGTGCAGAAAGTGCTTGGGGAGCATATGCAACTTTACCGCCAGGATGGTTTATCGTTCGCAATTTCGTTTGGTGTGATCGGACAAATTACGCAATTTCACTAAATTGGGAACCACTTCCGTTGAAGTTAGCAACTCATTATCAGGTTCAATATTTACGATTAAAGGAACATGGTACTGCTTGGATTAAAGAAGAAGAACGAAGAGCAGTCGAGTTGCTATGTCCGAAGGATGGCTGTAATCGGCAATGCTATTTGGTTTTCAATTTAGAGCACAATCCTGACGAATACATCTTTCAGATAAGGGCTAAGGTATTTGCTTTCTTTTCAAAAATTCAAGTTGTTGCGGTTTTTCTTTTCTGAATGCAATTTAAGCAAAAATTTAATTTGTAACTGTATGATGGAACAAATTCGTATGAATCTAGGTTAACGGACAGTGGAATCATTGGAAAACAGCAGGAAAGCCTGCAGTCTTTGAGAAACCCGAAAGAAAAGCGGCTTGTTGCATAGTACCACCACCATATCCCGTTGAAAACATTGGTCTACCTGGCACTTTTTGGGAAGTTGACATAGCACCTGTTGAATCTCGACCGCAAAACATTTCGTAAGTACCTTTTTTCTTACCATATTTCTATAATTTTCAATTTTCAACCAGAAATGGTTGCTTTAATAATCACTTTATATGATAATGAAAACCTTTCTTTTAACCCTTCTTGCAAATAGTTTTTTTGCATTTTCTATAATTTTCTATTTAATCGAATTTTTTGCTTAAATTCTTAATTTAGAACTTAGATTCATAAATGACTTTAAACCACTCTCTTGTTGAATCATTTAAAAAAACGATTGTGCAAAATTTTTCGAAAATCAAATTCAGCGTGAACATTGCGCAAAAAAAATTGTAGTTCAAGTTTTATGTTAGGAAACTTTTGATTAAAAAAAGCTTAAAATCTGATGCAAGCCGGAGTCGAGTCGTATATTTCTTCACCTGAAAAGAACATCAGTTCGCCGGATTCTCGATTAGAGCAAAACTACCATTAAAAGTGAAATCCAAAAAAGCTAAGAACTCCGATATTTGGCTAACTGGTAGGATGGAAAATGGAATTTCACGAAAATATAGCCTAAAATTTCTGGTCAGTTCTGCGAATGAAAGAATTTCTTATTGCAAAATTAGGGTTATTGCATTAGGTGATAATGGTGATAATAATATATATTGTACTGTACAATATATATTGGGTAGTGATACATTATTTTTGCATCAACGTCAAATTTATTTCTTTACTCGACGTCACACACATATTTCTCCCTTCAATCACTCTGTTTATCAGGTTTTGTTGAAATAAAGGGACCAAAATTTATAAGAAAAATACAGAAACCAGTTTTTTCTTCAAAATCTGCAAAAAATGCACAAAATCAATAAGTTAAAATATTAAAAATTTCTTTCTGAAATTCCCTAAATTAACTAAAAACGTTCATTTTTCTGGATAATATTCGTGATTTTTTTATTTCTAGTAGATTTAAACTGAATTCCTTTGATTTCGACGTATTTTCTGATAATCATTTTTTTCTTTTTGATCCACTAAGCTGCACTCAATCGAGTTTATCACAAATCCTCGCTTATTACTTATAGCAAATATCATTAACAAAGTTCACTCGAAAGGCTCGAAAGGTTGTAAAAATTATGAAAAAGCGTGAAAAAATCATTTCTCTTGCAATTTTACGTAATTCGATTTGTATTCCACAATTTTTTCTTGTTAAAAAACATTAATTAAACCTTCAAACTTATTTTTTCAGCCGTTATTACGTCGTCGTGGATGAACGTGAACCTGCGGGTAGCACAAACTGGACAGAATTAACTGATAAAGTAACGGCAACTAAGTTAAAACTACCGTATTATGTGGCAGCATCATTTAATGCGGACACACTTCCAACACCGACTAAGGTAAAGATTGGAGATGGCACGGTTATTGGTGGATATCTCAATTATCCACTCGTTAAAGGAAAAAAATACAATTATGAAATTTATTCCGTCTGGGAATTGGATGGAAAACCAGCGGTTGTTGCTCGTCAACGAGGTGAGTTTCGTTTGGATTCATTCGAATCATTTAAGTGAAAAAATGCCTCTAACACTATAAAATTTTAGGCACCAAAAAATTTATTAAAATTGTCTACTTTTATTCAATAAGTATAGAATAAGTACCACTATATTCCACTGAAATTTCTGCCATCACTATTCAACTATTTGACATACTTTGAACCAAATTACTGTGGATCATTCCGGACACTGCCGAATGTGATCTTGCACTTCAATTGCCAAATGGCCCTTTGGCAGAAGGTTTCCAGTAACTAGTGGAGCCAACCAAACCGGGAAATTGTTTGAATAAAATTAATTATATGAATTTTATGGGATAAAATTATACCCTTCACAATATAGAATATTGCATATTTTTTAAAATTCAGTCCAAGTCGGTGTGCTTGTTGAATTTTTAAGAAGCGGATCATTATTCGAGGATCTCTCTGTTTTTTCTTCTTAAATCCCCTATAAAAAAATATTTTTGGGATGAAATATTCGAGATGAATTGATTTAAAATGAATATTAATCAGTGAAGTTCGGCGAAGTTAAGCGGATTTGCAAAGAAAAATATAATATATTCTATTGGCTTCATTTTTGCGTAGTTCGGTAGCTGTTAATTTTTACGGCTCAAAGTCGTATCTCTATATAAACTTTTGCATCAGTTCAGTTTATTGTTATTGGTACATTTAAGTTTTGATGACCTATACTTATTTTATTTCACTTAGACATCTCTGGCTTCATTTTTGATTCATTAGATTATCCACCATTCTCGAAAGTGATAATAATTTTTATGATTGTATTAAGACGCCAATTTAATATAATTAGCTGTTAGCAGTACCTTTTCTGGTTTGATTTGCTCCAATGATTATTAGGGATTTGCGTAAATTGCTAACTTTTCATGGAATTTTTCATGGAATGAAAATTCAAAATGAAGAATTTTTTCTCCATAATATGGTCGTATTGCTTTGTACATAACTTTTTTTCTTAAATTTTATTGCATTATTTATTCATCTGCTAAAATAATGAAAAAATACGCCTATGAATGATTTATTTACTATACAGTCAGTGATAAAATCCATGCATTCTCGTCGATTCATTAAAAATATATATATTTCTACTTTCAAAATTCAATCGAAAATGAAAAGAAATTAATTGCTCTATCAGAAAGTATGACTTTGGGCGATAATAAGTCGAATATAAATATATCATTGAAGTAATTTATCATTATACGATAATATTTCTTTATTCTTATTGTTTTTTTTGTATGAAAAGCAATGATCTCTTCGGAATGGAATTCATTTGAAAATTGCAGATCAAAAAAATTACCTAAACCGGTTGATCGAATTTAGTTTATCCTTCCTCAGTGGATACCTTTTTCCCATAAATTCCAGGTCATGCATAATAATAATAATTATCTTATTATAATTTCCTTCCATGAATCGACACACCAATTGACATTCTCATCTTCTATGTAGTTTAGAGGAAAAAAAAGGGTAGCAGACATGGAGTGCAATGGAAAAAATAACAGGAAAGACAGAATTTAATATGGACTATAGTAAAGAGAAAAGGAGATGACGAAAAAAAAGGAGACAAGGAAAAAATTGAATGAATTTGTTTGATAGGAAGGAAGTTTATGAACGAACGGTAGGTTGATAGTTTGATGATCGAGGGTGTAACCCGGTGAAGTTTCCGTATTTCTTTTTTTTCAAATTTCTCATCTGCAAAATCAAATATTTTCTTAACGTATCGACGGCGAATAATGGCAATATGGTGGCCATCAGGTAGGTATAATATTCGATATTTTTGTTATCATTTTTCTCTCATTGCCACTCTTCTCGCTTCATGAAATTCTCGAACGTTTTTCCCATTTCATTTCATCGACATTTATTTTTTTGCTCTGTTCAGTATTCAATTTTTGCATTGTATTTCTATTTCTATAATTATAATTTTCAAATAATTTTTTAAAGATTTTCATAAAAGATGAAATGAAATCAGCAGATGTATAGGCTAAGCTCTCTTATTGCCTAAGGGCATAACAATAATCCTTTGGAATATAATAATGAAAATTTAATTCACTCACTTTTTTAATTAGTACACTTCTGGTCATCTACCTTTAAGCAATAAACTACTTGAGCCATTTCAAAAAAATTTTCCTTGCTTCCTAGCAATTCTTTAATGAGATTAATGGGGTAATATTTCATTTTTCTAAGGTCTTTCTAGGATTTTCTCTAAAATTCTTTTCTATGTTGCATTTCCACAAAAGTTACAACTTTGTCCTTCAAATGTTTATTATACCTTTCTTTCGATGAAAGTCCCCTTGCATACAATATCTTCATTACTACAAAATAGACTGATATAGTTTTTCCACAACTGTATACCTTAATTTCATTTAAAATATTAAGGTGTATGAGCATGATTGGTAAAAAAAGTTATAATAATTTTACAGATGTGAAAAGCTTTTGGGCAAATGTGAGATGGTACCATCTCTTAATACCTTTATTACTGCTGCTATTATTATTGTGCTGTCTCATAAGGATCTGTTACTATTTGTAAGTAAAAAATTAGCAAGATATGACTCGGTTATCTGCATGATCTTAATAAGCGACATCAGCATTAACGAAGTGGCAGTTCAATATTCAACTATATTATAGCAATATAATCTGGTTGTAATTATTGCGGAAATATTGAAGTCCGCACTTGTCACCAGCATACAATTATAAACCTTCTGGATACACTGTTCATACAATGTTGATATCGTTTTTTTGCTAGATATTATAGATTTGCTGAGAAACCTTGCATCCACATCTTCTCGTTATTTTAATATTTTGCACGTAGAAAATCTTTCAGCAAGTGCCTACGCTATTTCCGGATGGCCATGGTGGTGGCTTCTACTCTTACTTCTACTATTGCTCTTCTTGATACTTCTTACTTGCTGCCTTCTGTGGTGCCTTCAAGGGTACGATTACTAATCTTTATAACAATAGAAAAAAGAAAAAACCTTCCACCATTCAGAATTTTATATTTTTAACCAATTCTCTGCACAAATCTATGGAAATGCAATTTTCTTTGCTAATACTATTATCATCTAATATTAGACTGAACCAAAAAGGAAAAAGCTCCTATCCTCAGTTATTTTTACAAAATCGCTGATTTCGAAATCCTTAAAATGGTTTTTGTTTAGGGCTTGATTTTTCAATATATTATTTCAACTAACTGCATGTTCAGTGCTGATTGTTTGATAATCAACCTATCATGAAGAAAATATTTGCTATTAAATCCCTCCATATATCAGTAAAACAATCATAAAATATATTATAGGAGATATCGAACCACGAAGCATCGACGAATCACAACAAATGGACAAACCGTTCCACTTCTATCTGATGTAACAACTTTAAAATTATTATAAAACGATTTCAATCGTCTAAAGCTTTAATCTGAATGATTTAATAGAATAAAATTATTGAAAAATTGAACTATTTTTGAATCTTTTAGATATTTTTGGAAGTATTTTTAATATGTTAGTTCAATGTTTTATTAAGGCAAATATTTGTATTTATGAAATTAAGTTATTGTTTAGGACGAAATTTTGTAAACGCACTTTCCATAAAAAATATAGTTCAAAAATTATCTCGATATATCTTATTGGCTCTTTCTTAAATGATAAAGTAAATCATGCAGGTGATTAGTAACACTCACAATTTCTGATTAAATATAGTGACTGCAATAAAAATTCTTCCTATCTGAAGTAAATTGGCAACGAAGGTAGGCTACCAGCATCTTCTTTTGATGGCAGGTTTACTCTTATCAGATGGAGTCGGACTTCTGGTGTTCGACGCAGTTGAAAGCCAATTAACCATGCTATTCGATTAATTTCATCTGAATAAATAATCACGACTTAACTTCTAGTGATGCATAATATTCCAAGAATATTCCAAGAAATATTTATCATGGCTACCCAGTAGATTAATCAATCTGGTTTATCTTAAAAAAACAATCAATCAACCTATGAAATCCAAAATTTCTTCTGTCTGGCCCATGTTAGTTAAAAACGAGTAGTCTTACTTATGAAATGCTTGTTTAGTGTTATAAGAATAACGCCAGTTAATTTTGAAATAAATATTTCTAAAAATGGTTAAATATAATCAAAATTCGAAACCACTTATAAAACTTTAGTGATTTAGGCTGAAAAAAGTGGAATGGAACAAAACATGCAAGCATTATCATCTCGTGTTGAAGATATTCGTTCTTCATTGGAGCAAAAGGCTGCAGGTTAGAATTCTTTTTCATGGATCTTTTTCAGTAATTAAGCGATAATATTTTGCAGTATTCCAAACAAACTGCTATTTTTTTGAATGATTTTAGCCAACATCTCATATTAATTACGATAAATCCAAATCCCTTTGCATTCAACCCATTCAATTATTCGTTTTATTTGATTTCAAATTTTACTCATCCAAATTTATTTTTGATTTTCAACAAAAAAAATCGCTAATTTTGAAATAATTACAACAGAACTGTGTGTGTGATATGTCATAGATTCTAAGCAATATCTTGTAGCTCGTGGAGATTTCGAAGATGGATATGTTCGAGGATTTCGTGATGCCAATAAATTAGGAAGTGCATCCGCTGCACGTCGACGCATGGATGATGACTATGGTGCCCGCGATGACCGTTTTCATGAAGGATATGTGAAAGGCTTGAGGTTGGGTTATGTTATATTCATTCATTGCTTATCTCCATGAAATTTGCATAAAACTTGTTGAAATAAGCCGATTTTCGGAATAAAAAAAAATCAAATAATCACCAAAATATGGACAAATATGAAAATTTAAAAATTTGCACATAAAATTTATTATATTAGTGGATTTGCTTTGTGCAGGGACGCTGGTATGACTGGAATGAGTTCGTCTATGCATAATTTGGCTCAGCGTGGACAAGGAGGCGGCTATTCTTCTGGCTATATGCAGGGTTTCCGAGATGGGAATTCGGGAGTTTTTGGTGATCGCATATCCACAAATCTTCTAAGAAGATTGGAAGAACAATATCCAAACCAAGAAGAATTTAGGACTGGCTATATCGATGGTTTCAAAGAAGGTGCTAACAGTAGACTTTCAGAAAGAAAGGTTCTTATTCAATTTGCAATTTTTTTCTTATTTCTCATTATACACAACGACCAGTACAAAATCCTTGTAAAAGCTAAAGAATAAATATTTAAATTCAAATTTAAACAGAAAATCATTGTGAAATATTTTAGTGGTTTGAAATAATTATATATTATATATTTGTTGTGAATTTTTTTAAAGGACGTTGGGAAAATTTTTAGCATCTAAATCTCACATAATTTTAGGTTCCATGAAGACATTTTTTTAATATTAATTTTTATTTAACATTTTTAAAAAACGGTTAGCACTCACCATTTCTGACTAGGCTTGATTCACTGGATATTAGGAGAGTTTGGAATTTATTTTTATCATTTACTCACTTGGAGATAGAAATGGAAGTAGGTCCGACGCTGTCGCTGATAATAATAAAAGCCATTTCTTTTTCCATCATTTAAGTCCATATATTGCTGGCCTGCTTATATTTAAAATTTAATTTTATGTAAAATTACGTTTAAAATTTTTCCTGACTGTGTCAGTCAAGGTCTTGATTGGACCACCTCGCTTTCGGCACCATCTTTCACAGGGTTTAGACAGTAACAAAATATGTATCAACTCTCGTGGTTGGTGTCGAAGAACGTGCCTTAACCAGCGAAAGATCTCTGTGATGCTACCGTTAATGCAAATGATATTTGAGCAAGAGTGGATGCAATCATCTGCGATTTTAGCCACTCGACGGATCCGTATGATATATCTTGGATATGAGTGGTCAAAGGCTGATAGCCTCTTAATATCTTCCACAGGCCATGGCTCGCAACAATATAGCAAGATCGCTATATAGACACGTGCTTTCATTTTTACCGTGATTTCACGACGAGTCCATGAAGGTCATCAACCGGAAACCGGAAGAGAGCTTTTCTAGTTGACGTTATCAGCTGCTGTCATCTTTTACCTAGCCATTCGTTATTAGAGTGGTTTAAAATCGGGCATTTCCTTAACCGGCAATAAGTTTATAAAAAGAGACATTTTATGAGCTTCTTGTACGTAAGACGAAAAGACTCGTTTTTTTTGTCCTTGAGTCCGATTCTCGATGCATGTTGTTGATATTATTTGCATTTCGTCATAACTAAAAGGACTACATCATCAGCGTGTTCAAGATCTGTGATTTGATGCTCTAGATTGATTTGTACACCCCTTGAATGCCGACAAGCGATGTCCATTATCCAGTCTATACTGTAGTGGAAAGGACGCAGCTCTAACAGACACCAGTTCTTATTTCGAAGGGGTCAATTTCCCATATATATAAACCTGTGCCGATATATATTGATAAAATGCCTTTATGAGGCTGATCATCTCTGGAATACCGCTACATTTCCATCCAAAGTGCTGCTCTATCAATTGAATCGAAGGCAGCTTCAGATCGATAAAACATGCTAATATTTAAAACAGTGCTCCAGCATAGGTTTGAATCCAACTCGGTTAAGGCGTATTTTGTTGTCTCCTGTTGCCATAAGTCTATTCAGCGGGAGGCAAAAAGGCAAATTTTCCTGGAGATCTCTAAGAGGTTAATTCCTTGATAATTATCGCAGTATGTCCTATAATGTGTTTTGTCTCCTTTCCTGGGAATTGGGAGTAAATTGCTTTGATCCAGTCATCTTTTTTCTGCACCAGAGAGAAAAAGTGTTTGTTGAAAGTGTTTTATAAAAGACGATGGATAAATTTGAAGAGTTCGGCCCAAAGACCATCGTCTTTAGGAATTTTTTTATTGGTGTTAAGTTTCTGGAAGATTATTCTTTCTTCTGTTGGCAGTTTGCAGTTACAAACACATGGTTTGACGAGGCAACTATTTTCTGGGCATTAGATGGATCGTGGCCTCAAAGAATTCCTTCTATATTACCAGGCGGTCCTTAATACTTTTAACAGGCACACTATTGCTGTCCCGTACCATTTCGTTGATCTCTGAATTATCTTGTTTTGTAAAGAATAATTTCCTATTATCACCTATCCGAGCAGTCGTCTCCATCCTCAAGACTATATCGCTCCAATAGCGATTTTTGTCTCGCCATGCTGCTGCCGTTGCAATTCTTCGAAGCATCCGATAGTCAGGATCTCCTGAAATTCATGTTTTTGGTGGTGTTTTCAAACAGTTGGACAGTTGCTTTTTATCCAACTAGCTCATTTCCTACTAGCATATCCTACTGGTGTGGAAAAGGCTGACTTTCAGCATTCATTCCTTTAGTTGTATTCATTCCAGAGATGTTCCTGATGTTCATTTCACTGAGATGCTTCAATAATTCAATTTGAAATGCGCTTCCTATCCCCGAATTTTTTAGTTTGAGATAATTGAAAGATCTTGGGAGGCGTTGTTCATTGCGAGTTGCCATTTTATAAGCATTAGGCTCGAATTATAACATAGTCTGATCCATGAAGGCTACCAGTTTCAGCGCTCTGATAGGAACCACTATCTAGTACGGAACTTTTCCAACGGGACTGACTAAAACATAATCAATCTGGTTGGGGATGTTGGTTATCCGGAGAGTTTTGGGTGACTAGACGTTTTCTCCGATGTCGGAAACATATATTAGTAACAAAGAGATCGAGCTATTCGACAAATCGAAGAGAGCGTTCTCCATTGATGCATCGGACCCATGCCATATTTGCCAATTATTAAGTTTATCATGGGGATATCATGACCTACGCATGCATTCCAGTATCCTCCAATTACAACCATGTCAATTTTCGGGTAAAGATGTTGTTAAAAGTTGAAGTTCTGCATAGAACTTGTTCTTATCGTGTGGTGCTTAAAGCTGGAGCATATACACTAACTGATGACTGAAATACTGCAAAACTTTCCTTTGAAGAGGGCATAGGCCATGCGGTCGTTTATTGGCACTCATTCAGAGTGGACTGAACTTTTTCAGATATAACAGTCGCTGTACCATTTTACCCTGAGCTATCCGAGCCATCACAGTGATATAGCCAATATCTTTGCTCAATACTAGGCTTGATGATTGCATGACGCCCGAAGTGCGGAAGACGGACCTTCCACAACCATACGACATCCACACAATATTTAGAACGATTATGGACAATGATCGCTTGAATTTAGATGTCCATAAGCGTTCTGACGTTCTATGCTTCTAATGCTAACATCTCGCCGCGCGTGCAGAAAGTCGTTTCCCTTGAAAGCTTTTGAGCAGTTATCATGGCTTACGAGCAGATCATATTAAGCTTTGACGTCGTGATTATGCCTGTATTACTTATCGCATGTACCACCTGGTTGAGAATATCATGAGCGTCGAACGTCGTAGCAAGAAGATCTGTCCATTTCACTATAGAGGCATTTGGGGATATAGTTGCAGTTGGTTCCCCAGCAGCCACCTGGATTTTTGTTGTCATGGTAGGTTTATTACTATTAAGACAACAAAAAAAAATCAAAGAAGGATAAAAAATAAACTAGAAAAAAAAAGATTTGTAAAAAAATAAAAAAGATAAAAAAAGATTTGTTTAATATATATATATATATATGTATATGTAAAATATATACATTTTTTGTATTTTTTATAATTTTTAATTTATAATATAATTTTAATTTTAATTTAATTTATAATATAATTTTTTTAGTTTTCTTTTAAAAAAAATTTAAAAGCTTCAGAGAATTTAGCTAAATTTTTATCGACGGAAATTAAAGAATGATTCACAAATAAAACAAACTAAATCTTTGTTGTATTTTCATGAAACGACCGCTTGTTAAATTTGATTTAATAATTAATTTAATCTAATCTATTAAGCATTCTGCAATAGCTTTATGCGCTATTACTTATATGCATTTTAGACTTTCGAAGAATCGAGAAGATTACAGGAAAGTCTTACGAAGCTCACCGAAATTCTTCAAGATAAAAGCAAAGGCGATGAAATTCATACAACAAAAATTTACCATGTTTGTAAGGAAATTTTTTTAATTAGCACAACATGTTTTATGGATATGAGAGAAGAGAGTACAATCATTTAGTTTCAACTTTAGTACTTCATGAATTAAGCAAGAAATTGATAATCATTTATTGCTATGCACACTTGAAGGCTTTTTTAACCCGAGTGTAATCGATTCGAAATAAGCCAAGCAAGTAAACACTTGAAAAATTTTTCTTATCATTTGTAGACAACCAGCAACCCGATGTAGGAATGCTATATTCGACAAATCGGCAACTTGAACATGAGCTTGAAGAACTCACCTCATCATCGAGGCGTAGCACTCTTAGGCGCCATTATACAGTAAGAGTTTATTTTATAGATTTATAGTAAAATGTCTATATCTCATATTTTATATTTACTGGAACGTGATAATTCGAAATTAATAATTTCTTTTCTTTAGCCCGGTGATTATCTAAAATATAATAGTGAAACGGAAGGATATGGTAGCCTTGGTCGAAATCGACGTTCTCTATCAGCTTCCGCACTTGGCAGAGGTAACAAATTCGTTCTTTTTTTAGGCATCCGTAAAATTCGGGATATTTATGAACATAGTTATTTGTCTAGTGGCTATATATTCGCCTTATGCACATAGCTATTTTTTTAACTTATTTTTTATAGTTTTCTTTCACAGTGTCTTCAGCTTGCGAAATTTTAGAAAGCGATTCTTTTTAACACCAAAATTTAATTTAACAACAAAAGCCGCTTTTTGGATTATCGATAGGCATTAAAATTAAAAGATAACACGAAATTTGCATATTTTTATCATTATGGCTCTTGAGTAGCGAACCAAAATTTATCTTGAGCAATTCCTCGATTAAAGAGTATCATTAAACCAAATGCGAACAACGAGCTACCTAGATCCAATTTTCAACGAGGATTTCCCGAAAATGCATCGATTACCACTCCCTCTATTCCAAGTTTTGCGAATTCCATCTTTTAAATGTTGATTTAAAAGTCTTTAAAAGCCTTTGATTTAAAGTTCTTAACCTTTAAAGATGTTTGAATATTCGCTTTTATCACCTAATTTTATTAATGAGCACTATCGGAATTTCGTTTTAACATCCATAAGTTGTTTAATATCGAAGAAATGCTTCTAATTTTAGAGACTGCAGATCGTTCGCGATACTTTTCTGGAACTGGGACATCTTATATCAGTCGTACATCTGCAGCTGAACGTTCGACTGTGGATACTTCCTCGCAACGATATAATTATCGTAGCCGTTCTGATATGGGAAGTCCTCGTCGTTATGCCTCGCAAACTCTTTTGGATGGAATAAGGCCAGGTCCATCTGCATCGCATATTAGAAGAGATGCTTTACATACTTTGCAAAAAGAATTAGATACATTATCACGCTCACCTGATCGATCGACTCCACGCGGTTACAGCTCGGATACTGGTTACATGAACGACACATTCCGTTCTCGTGCTAGAGGTTATTCAAATTATGATTACCATGCCAGTTATCCTGTTTAGCTATTTCTGCTTTTCTCTATGATTAGTCTTGGTTGGTAGCCTTGCAATTAACAGTGTGAAAATATTTAATCAGTGTCTTAGCTTCTGACAAAATTTAACCTATGAAGCAGACTTAAATTCGAGTTCTTCCTTGTTCTGTTAATTATTTAATGTGGATAATAAAGTATTTTTCTAAAGGAATGAAATGGTTTTAATTAGAATTTACCATAATTTACCATTCTTTGGCGACTGAATGTTGAAATTTTTGAATAGTGAAAAATGTAGTCGATTATAATGAGTTTTCCATGAACAAAATGAGAGAGTGAAATGAGAAAGAAATTAAATAAAATGCTATAAATAGTAACAATTGCAGGTAGTGCCACTGTTAGTGCCACAAGAATACCCGTGTCAATACCCGTAAAAACTGTCACATCTTCCACCTTCTCTACCTCTCAAAAAGGTGTTGTTTCTCGATTTAATTAAGTTATACTGTTTGTCTTATGTAATTTTTTAAAAAACTTTATAATTACGCATGAAGTTGAATTTAATTTTTAATATAGTATTGGAACGATGAATTCTACGCTCATTACCGTCCATCTTAATGTTTGGTTTCTTAATAGTGACTGAAAGAATTGTCCTTAAAGTAATACACTCAATAATAGGAGAATATTGCTTTTATGTATCAACTGTATCGCAAACATATCTCCTCATGTATTTTTTAGGAAGCGCAACAGAAACAAGTCCATCATCGCGGCAGTGGCCAGACGACCTGATTGATATCGTCAATGAACCGATGGGACAAACACTCGAACGAATGAAAAAATATAGCAACTCTATGTCACAAGTGGATCGCGGTACGAAATATAAAATTTCTCGCTTTTCTAATATCGCATCAGAGCAAATTATAAATAAATTACTCAAATATTTGTGGGTAGGAAAATATAATTAAAAAATTTCAGAAGGAGATGGAGATGATAATATTAAAGAAAGTACTGAGGAGCATTATCAGCGATCTTACAAAGAGGTACTTCTAGAAAATTTCCAAAAAAATGAATCACTTTACCAGGTATTGAATGGACACGAAATGGACGGAAAATGAGAATTAATTAAACTTTTGCAAAATTCGTTTAATCAATGGTGAAGTCGGTGAAAGGCTATTGGGCCAAAAAGACATATTTATAGCCTTCTTAATGCTTAAAGCTTTGGTCTAGATAGTTAGCATGCACCATTCCTGTTTAGGCATTAGCTATTAGAATAAGACTGTTTCACCAGAGAGTCATTTGACGAGTACAAATGACTTCCCAGTAACATTCGGATTTTTTTTTTTATTTCATACAAATGGAGTCATTCATAAAATTTTATAAAGCATAATAAAGAATAATTCAAGGAATATACAACTGGAAGACGATGAGCTGAACTGAAGTGCTCGGTGGATTTGATTCTTTTTTCTCTTAGCAATTCCGCATTTTTTGTGAAAAAGCCTATTTAAATATTCACTTTCATTTCCAGCACTGTCATATTGGAGTAGATTGCTCATGGTTGTATTAAATTTTTTTTTCGTTTTACTTTATATATATATATATATATATTTATATATATTTACTCGATTCGAGTGGAACTAACGTAGTATTTTTTTATAACATCAATTTGTGCAACCAATTATTTTTTCGTTTCTTTATAACGTGTTCATTCAAAAAACTGCCGTTTTTATCTAAAGAAACTAATATTCGCCGACAGCTAAAAATCTTATAACCGAATTCAGGCGATATGAATCGGATGTTAATAATGGTAGGACGACGATTTTCTAATTTTCTTTTTTTTTCTAATTTTTTACCAACCATCTTCATAATTCATCATTTTTTTCGACGGCCTTATTTATTATTAGTTAGCATCTTTTTTCGTTCGTTCGTCTTCGCAAAATCTCATTTTTCCTTTCTGTATTGTTCAACCAATGCAGTATTTTTTCTCCATTGATTTTGTTCATAACCATTTGTAAGGTTGCAAAAATTGTATAATTGATGCGATAATTTCAAGGATTGCTTGTGACGTGACAATTTTAGGGATTTTTAATTGTGACAAAAAGCTAAACTAATGAAATATGCATGAAAAAAAAATTCATGATGTACGTAAAGCCACAATAAAAAAAGATGCAATGAATGAATGCGAAAATTTCTGCATGAAAAATTAAAAATAAATAAAACGAATGGCAAGCGGCTTTGGAAGGATTTTATATAATAAACAAAAGGAACTGAGGTGATGATGCAGAATATTTGAAAGAAGCAAAATTCAAGGGTCAATGGTTAGAGGTGCGTTGAATGGAAATCTACAGGTTTATTGGTTTGGTAATGAGGTGAGAAATTTGAAATTTTAGTACAGCAAAGGTGATCTCCACGATTTCCTTACATAATAGAAACAAAACATCCATGTTGAAATTGATGAGTAGCATATTATTTTAATTGATAAATTACTGATAAATGCTAAAAAATTTCTCTAGGAGAAATCCGAATCAACAATTTTGTGTATAAAGTGAATAAAAGCTTAAGTGCCGCAAAATTTCTTTAGAAATTTAGGACCTTAATAAAATCATTATTATGCGCCAGTTTTATTTAAAACCTTGCGATTCAAACCTGAAATCAATTTTAAAATTTCATCTTTTGGGTTAAATATCATCAAATATCACTGAATTGAAAAATAAATAGGTGATTACAAGCTAAGACTGCGATGATCGAATGGCATGTCGCCTTGAAGTTGTGTTGGCATCATGAGCTCAGTTGCCAAAAATTAGAGTGGTGATAAGTATGGGCACTTGTTTTCTCCTCTCGGAAAACCGTTGCACACTTGAGTAAGTAGCCAAAAAAGTTGCATAAGATAGAAATTGTGATTTAACTATCGAAATCAGCTTTTTTACAAATTTTTATAGATTTCTTTTATAGATTTTTATAGATTTATGTATTTCTACAAATATAATGAGAATTGTAACAACGGTTTCTTTTGGAATTTTTTAATTGTATATTTGATTTTTGAAATGGTTTGCCATATTTTGTGTAATGGCTTGTCGCGATTTATCGCTTTTTGCAGTAAAGTTATTGTAATTTATATGCGGTGATTTATTTGAAAAGAAATCAGTGTTTTGTCGAAACTAATAATATTTCTTCAAAAATCTAATCGACACCATCTTCATTGACGAAATGCGATAGTTGGAATGGGAAAAGAAGTAAGCAATCATTAAAAATGATTAATTAGGAAAATGAATGGATGGCGGTTGATATCTTAAGGTCATCTAGTATCTAAAACATGAATGAGAGTCGAGCTAAACTTTTGTTATGTGATCAAAATAAAATCGCCGTTTAGGTTTGGGCCATTCATTCGCCCACTCATCCGACTGACAAACACAAATTGAACCGCTTCAACATTAAATCCCTCGCGATACTCAAATGATTAGCAAAATGAGGATTTTTGACAAAATTTACTCGTATTTCTCTTTATTTTGATTTTATTGTCGAAAAAATCGTATTAATGTTCACATAATTCATCAATTTATTGTAACCATGACTAGCCTAATTTCAAAATTTTATATATTCGTAATCTGTGTAATATTTTTCACAGAAAGTTTTCAACTAAGATATCGCAATAAACATGAATGGTGGTAAGTAAGTTCAGTGACCTGATCTGTTATTATCCATTTTGGTTTTAGTTGGTTTGTCTTGTCTATAGCGATCCCCTCCTTGAAATTAAACACCAATCGTGCTATTTTGACGTACTGTTTTTCTTTTAATAGGGAGCACATTGTCTGACAAAACATAAACATAGAAAGCATAGATTGATAAAGATATTTCCAGGTGCAGCAGGATCCAGCAATTTCGTTCTGCTTATAGTATACAATTATAATATAGGTATAGTCAATTAAAGTTATAGTAATTATAATTGCATGATGAATTATTTATCAAAAATTTCTGTAAATTTTTACCAAAATTCATTTTAATAAAGCAAGAATGCAGCTTGATAAAATAGGATATTGACTATCACTTAGACTATCACTTCAAGGATCATAGTTCCATCTTTGGTTTCAAGCAAGACTGCACCTGTCATCAAAAGTCCAAATTGGTGGAGGCTTTCTTTGACTCTTCTTGCCGAAATCCTATTACAGCTAACTTAAGCGGAAATGAGACTATTTGACCGGATTTGATTCCTTTGAATCACTTTTTTTCCAATTTTTAATGATAAAAATTAGTAAAAAGATTGAAATAAAACGATATACGTAATGTTTGGTGACTGTTTAAAATCATTGTTAAAAGATTGCCGAATCTTTTATACGAATTTTGTACGAATCTTTCGCCAAATTTTTAACCATAATTTTGCTTTTTAATTTTAACCTTTAAAAATACTTTCTATTAATTAATTATTTGATTGAAAAATTCAGAACTCAGCCTTTTTTCATTTTAATATGTTTTGCCAACGGGAAAAAAAGCGACTTTTCAGAGAATATTTTGTTACGAATGATGATGTTTTGTTTCGTTGGTATACTTTACAGCAACTAGTGAAAAGAAAACACAATATAAATTTAACATAAATTCCCTCATTTTAATAATAACAATAATAAAATATGGGAAAACAGAACGTTTTCAGGTGCCAAACAATAGCGATGCTTGCTAGCTGTGATTCAATCAACGAGCAATTCTCTATCCCTGCGGAACCATTAATGAATTTTATTTGAATATTTTTTCAATTATCATTATTACTTTTTGTTTTAATGGCCGATAGCGCTATCGAAAATCGTCTAGACCCATAATTTCTTTCAATTGTACCAAGTGAACCATAAAAAAAAGAATTTGCAGAACAAAGAATTTTTGCTTCAAGAATATTTCAATCGGTCATCACCTGGCAATGGTTATTTGAAAAGCACCGCATATGGTTCTATAGCAAAAAAATTTCTGATGATATTGTTTCAAATTCTTACAAATCAACAAATCTCGGACTAAGTGGAATACCTTCTTCTTGTAATTCTGCTATAACAGGGCGCACGCTGCTGAATTAGGCTGACTCCGCCAGTTGCAAGAGTGAGGGCTAAACTTGGCTAATTTGCTAAGCTTCTCGATCCGACACCACATTTGAAGTAAATCGAATATTACGAGCTTCTCAATCAATTCTTTCAAATTTATCAGTATTTATCGCAAAAACCATTCGGCCAAGAACTTTCCATCATTTTAAATTAAATCATAACGACATTTTCAATTGGATCTACGAATTTTTTTCTGAAATTTTCACCGAATTTTTTTGAATAAAATACGAATATGCAAAAGAAAATATTGAGAAAATCGGTCTGAATGGGCGTTAACATTAATAAGATAAGGCGGGCAACGGGTTAAAAAGTCATTACTGCACGACGTGGTAACGAATCATACCGTGCAATGGTCAAGCTCATTTTCTTTATTGTTATTATGTGTAAGTTTTTGCCTGAACTTCGAGCTCATCCATGTCGGTCGGCATTTCGAAAACGCTTTTATGCTCGATTGGTTCGTTTTCATTTTTATTTTCCCGAAACTAGTTCTGCATTTTTTGCAAAACTTACCGATTAGTAATTAAAACTTAAACCTTTCATCAGACTTCTTATTTAATACCTCCAATACCTTATAAGCACTAAATATGTCCTCTTTTATCTTACAAATCATAAATATATGCCTCGCGCATTGCAAATATGCTTGCTTACCTTGTGATAAGCCAAAGAAATCAGGTTTCAACTATTTTCATCCGCTTATGTTTAGGCAAACAGAAGAATTGAATTCGAGTAAATGCATTTGTTCACTATAGAATATATTTCAGAGTTATGAGGAAGAGAATGAGGACGTAGCTGTAGATATTACTGTAAATAAAATGAGTACGACCATTGCTAGAAGCCAACTAGAATCTTCAAATTCTGATACTGCCGAACTACCATCAAGTATATCAAAATGCAACCGTCAAAGGACTTGGTATAATCCATCAGTTCGACGAAAAAGATTTGGTTTGTAAATTTGCTTTTTTGTCGGTTTTAGTTATTCGGATAAGTTGCGATGTATGAAAAATTCATAGAAAATGAAAATAGGTTAAGTTTCTTCATAGAAAAAGTATTTACACTTGTTTATAAATTTTTTTACTCGATATTCTCCGCGATAAAATCTATAGATTTTCCTAAAAAATGCATAGAACATTTATACCGAATTGCACTGCTATAGGGCAACAATTTTATAAGCTTGTTGATGATGATTATTTTATTTTATTATTTTCTAAACTCTATCGGATTTCGATATTTTTCTCCAAAATTTTATTCCAGTTATTTTTTTATCTCCTTTGCTTATCGGAATTTTCAAAAAATTTGTGGAAAAATAAATTTCAAAATAAGGTTAAATATGAATGATTGACTTACAAGGTCCTTCCACTTCAATTTATTTTTCTTTTTATGGCAATAATTTTGAAGAAAATTGTTTATTTCGATTAGAGAACATTAAAATGAAATTTTCAATCACCTTATGAATTCCCTAAAAATTTTCTTAATTTTAAATTTTTGCAAAAATTGAATTATTGGAGGCCACGTCTTAACGATATTTTTTCCGAGATAACATGTCATTTTTTACTGTTGAATTGAAATATAAAATGCTTTTTTCGATCTTTATCATTTTAGAAATGAAATGCATTCTTTCTTCAAGAATACTGTACAGACCGTACGTACCGGACGTTAGAAATCAGTTTTATGTACATTCATACCGAATCAAATGAGAATTTCGTGAGATAAAAATTGCGAGTTGATAAAGGAGGTGAATGTGCTAGAATTGGACCACTTAATTCCTATTTATTTTCAGCCATATTTTAGCTATTTAATTTTTGATGATGAAAGGCAAAAATATCGAATGTTTCAGAAGAAAAAGACTAATTTTACTGTAAATGGAATTTGATTGTCGTCCTAATTGGCTTAGCACCCAAACAATCCCTCACAATGATTGAAAAAAACCCACCAGCTTGAGGTGAAAAAGTATGCAGTATTTCTCACTATAATAAAAAATATGTATTTTTATTTTAGCACACTTTGGTTCATAAAAATTATTATTCTTTTTCTCTGTGAAAATAGCATTAATCAAAAGCTTATTCTAAATATTCTAAATATTTCAACATTTATCATCCAAATAGAATGTGGAATAATATTTTTAATATTTATTAAATAATATTTTTCGACTAAAATTAAAATCCAGCTATCATGGATTCGATTTTCATCTCTCAGCAAGAATAAATCTACCACTAAGAATTGAATCTGGGTGGCATAAGCGACATATATCCCAATGCTCAAGTGGCTGCTCAACGGAGGAGTCTAGTAAAGGTGAATGGAATCAGATAAACCATAAATGGTGAATGCTGTTAGCATTTTTATTACCATTAACTTAACATTTCATGGATTCTAAATTCTATTTTTTGCTTCCATTTTTTGCATGTTTCCCTTAAATTTCAGTTATATTTGTTTCGATTTATTAATTGGTTTGCAGTATGAAAAGGAAAATAATTTTATGTGTTTGTAGCTATTAGTAATTCCAATAACTTAAAAACCATTGTACTTTTAACTACTTTTTTTGTTTATTATGGTCATAAATCAGGTTGATATAAATCGCGACCACATTCAATTAGCCTTTTTTTTGAGGAGCCTTTCGAATTTATATTGTTATGTACTTGTGCTGACAAAGCGTAGCTTCAAATTTCGAACTAAAACCCTATAATGTCCGATTTTATATTTTCGGTAGATTCACTAATATTGTGCCGTCAAAAAGGATTTCTTTAAGCCAGTTAACAAGTAATTTTTGGCTCTAATAGCGCAAGAAATTTCATATTTCAAATATTGCCAAATTTTGTAATAAATTAAGTTGGCAAATGCAAATAAATATCACCAATAACCCTAAAATAAAGGCAAAATTTCGAGAAATTTCAGTTTATTAATATTACCATTAATTACACCAAATGTCTCTTTCTTAGTTTTCTCAATTTGAATAAAATCTTCGATTTCGTAAAAGCCATAGGTTAGCTTTAAAAACGAAATCTAGATGGTACTTTGAATATCAGTGCTTCTATATTCTAAGAGGCTTTCTAATGGAAGACCAAACTGGAACTATTTAACCACAAAACTACTATAAGGATGATATTCAGTAGAGCTAGTTAAAGTTGGAACCTATGAGGAATTTTTAGAAGAGGATTATTTCTCAGCTGGTAAAAAACATCGAATCGGATGAAGATTTCTGACATTTGACATTCTTGATATTATCAAGCTGAGTGAGTTTAGCATGTGCTAAAGAATTTTGCCTAAATGATCCAATCAGAACTTTTAATGCTGATAGCCATCTTCGAATTGCGATAGCGATGTTCATCATTTTAGTATAAGAAAATGAATATTATGTGATTATTTTGTAATATTTCTTTTATTTCTTTTTTATAGCGTTTCACTTATTATTTTTCTAATAAATTAAATTATAGACTTTCTAGAACCTCTCGAAAATTGCAAAAATTCTCTCCTCGTCCCCCATTTGCTAACAAATTTTACTTTATCAATTGAACTCAAATAAACTCATTCAATTCGAAAAAATTAACAAAGTAATAAATTAATGACCAAAAAATTAACAAATGAATAGAAAAAATTTTCGCGATCCTTCGTTTTATGTTCATTCCCAGTTTTTCCTTCTAAATTTTCCTAGACTTTTCATTCATCATTTTCTTTTTTTTTTTTATCAGCGATATACTTCCGCATTTTTTTATTTTTTAGAGAATTTTTCTTCAATAATTTATGCATTTCACTTTTCAAAATCAGACCTTCTGAAACAGTTGTTTTTTTTCAAACTTTTTCGGCGAATTCATATTCAATCTCGAAATTTCGTGAGCAAATTCCAGAAATTTCCTCGGATTGGCTTAAATAATCATTTATTCGTTTTCTCGATTATCCACGATTTAGAATTAAACTGATTAAAATTAAATTTTCAAGAAGGAGTTCAGCATGTATATCCTTCTAAAGCCAATATAGAATAAACAAACACATTGTTCCGCTGGAGCTTGCAGGCAATGATTTTTGCGCAGCGTAGTTCAGTTAGAAGATTAACATTCCAACCTAAATTCAAACGATTTTTGATCAGTGCTGAATCACTAAACTAAATTAAGATAAGGGCGATAAAAATGAAAAAAAAACTATCGCAAGTTCGATCGAAAGTTATCGATGAAAAAAAAAATTTTGTGGTTGGAAAAATTTGTCAAAATTGCCCGTATGAAATAATTTTGAACGTCAGTATATCAGTTGAATATCAGTAATATCTCTATTTTGTTCGCATCCGAAAATTCTTCATGTTAGATTCAAAGGTCAATTAAGATTCGTAAAATCCATCTTTTCCTATCGATCTCTTTTTGTCGACCTGTTTTCGTGAAAATATTTTATCTAATCGCAGAGCGCGATTAGCGCTAAGAAAAAAAACTATAATTTCTATAAATGAAAAAAAAATTAGCTTAAAATTGAGTCCTATAATCATATCCTATAATTATTTTGAAATTCTTCTTCAGCAGAATTTTACGAAGAAATTTCAGCGACAGCTCAAACATCACGTTGGGATGGGATGACGAGTGAATCAATCCTGAGCTTAAAGTGGTATATAAAACAATACACAAGAAAAATGACACGGGAAGAAGTCAGGTGACCAAAATATTGTCGTTTTTTTTCGGTACGTTGTCCTTAAAATCACCAAAGAATTAGGTCGTTAGGATGATAGTTATGCGCAAAATGAGGACATAAAAGATGTTTTCGTTAAACAATCCTGATGATCATTGATGATGAAAAAACGCTCGGCAAAAAATTTTTTGGCTTTCGAAAATCAACTAACCGCCCTTCTTCATGGACCCGTTTCAACATCAAAAATATTTTATTTTGGCCGGTTTCACGTAAAATTAAGGTTAATTATGATTAATAGAGAATGAAAAAATGAGCGAATTTTCTAATGAAAGCACTTTGCTTGTTAATTCATTAATTCATTAATTTAAAAATCTGTCGTCTAAAAAAGCAACTCGTTTGCGAAACTCAAATATTCCACCTTCCTGCAAAATGCTTTTCGTCGCATGGACTTATTTCTTAAGTAATTCGTCAATCTAAATAGTCATTAAATTTAATTATTACCATTAGGTTATTTTATATTCTGTGGGCAGCGATTATATTTATTATGTGAAGAAATGATATAGATTTGATTATTCTCATTAATTAATGAATCAATCTTAAACTTAAATTGACCCAATTCCGAAGTGGTTTTCTAGCAAAAACACACACTCATGATGAGCTAATTAGAATTAGAAAGCATTAACTACTTTTCTGGACGGATTTAATGAATTAAATTAACAATTGATGAAAACTTAAAAAAGAAATTAAATTGACTCAAGGATTAATTTTTGTTGGCACTGTCCATTTTGAATGGATTTACTACAATAAATTTTTTATGAACAATTTAAGTGAACTTAAATTTAACAATTTATATCAATTTTAATACATAAAAATATATAAATTGCTCGAAAATTTCAAAATGTCTGCAAATGCTATATGCGATTGCTTCCGCAGAAACAACCTTCTTTCCCTACTAACAGCCAGCGGAACTAAACAAACCAGAAATGAGTGCTAAAAATTTATTTATTTGAATAGCATTTATAAGCATTCGTTGTTAATAAAAAAAAGCAAAAGAAGAAGGATGAATATTGAAAAATCTTAATTTTTCCCTCATTTTCTTAGACAATCAAATGGAAATTAAATGTATGAAAACTTTGTAATAAAGTTGCAAAAAGATTTCTGCAAAACGCTGATCAATATTCTTGCTAAATTAATTGGCAAAACCTGTTCCAAATTTTCCATTATTTAATTTATAAAAATCATAGTTTAGAAAAGGCAAAAAAATTCAAACGCTAAGCAGTTCACAGTTATCAGCTTATCAGCTTTATATTATCAGTTATCAGAGTAATTTAGATTTCACAAAGCTTAAATTAGGCTTTTTAAAGTTAGTTTTAAATATCCGTGTCCTTTGCCCGTAAAGCTATTCCATTCTATTCCATTTATTTGACAATACTATGAACGAGAAACAAAAATTTTTTTTTAACGTTATAAAATTTAGCTCATTATTTTATCTAATTTAAATTGAGTAAAATATTAGCTGCAAAAAAAGTTTCCATGAAGAAGCATAAATTTCAGCATTTCGGCATTACCATTAATTGCCTTTATTTTTGAAAAAAACGACGAATGAATAAATCGTATTTTTTTGCTTTTTTTTTTAGGTCTATTGTTAAGAAGTCATTTGAACTGTGGTCAGTACAAACAGTCATTCCCGCACTTATTTCACCTAAATTGGAATTCAAAGAAGCTGAAAGTGAATCCGAAGCAGATATAACAATTTTATGGGCTGAAGGTGAACACGGTGATGCATATAAATTTGATGGAACTGGAAATCAAACGAATATCTTGGCACACACTTTTTATCCAACTTACCAAAACGTTGGAACCTTAAATGGCGACATACATCTTGGTTCGTTCTCATTCTACTTTTAATGGTTATAAAATATCAGAAATAGTGAAGTCAAGTGATTCCTCGCTTCGATTGAGGCATTATAGGTTCTCTGTGACCTGCGTTTTTCGATGGGAGTAAAGCTGTCATTAAAAGTGAAATCTACTTGATGCTTGATGAATAAATCCTGTTTGACACTCTTTTTTATCTCTCCACCTAGGTGACTTTTTAATGAAGTATTTTCAGATATTTTTTAATTTTTTAATAATATATATATGTATCGAAAAATCGAGTTTTTTAGCTGATTTCCAACGACTATTTTTTTTGATGGAAAGGAAATTTAAGCGATAGATTAAGACATCAATTTTCACAAAAATTATGTAAAAATGTTTTGGTTTACACGAGTTTATACAACTATACAAGCTATATAAGGTATGAAAGTGCGGTGCTTACAATTAAGGGAGAGAGTTTATTTGAAGAAGGGTTCAAGGTCATGAGCTCGAACTCATCTCTTGAAAATAAACCTATTATTAAAAACTAAAATTCGGATCACGTTGGTAGAGATCCATCTATAATCAAGTAATTATTTAGGTTAGTCCTAAGTTAGCAACCAGTAGGGTGAGGTAAACTGGAATTGGTTTGTTATGTCAGAAGAAGATTGCTAAGTGATATATAAAAAATTGTGAATAATTATTTTTTGGTGATTTATTTCTGATTGGTATGCGTCACTTTTCACTTTTGAAATTGCTATATCATTTTTCAGACGATGCTGAATCTTGGACAGGTGATGGGAAAAGTGGAGGAACAGCATTCTCGATGGTGTTCGTCCATGAAATTGGTCATTCATTAGGCCTAGGCCACAGTAAACGCCAAGATGCCATTATGTATCCGATATATAAAAAGAATTCGCTGGAAAGCGTTGTATTTGACTTGGACGATAAATGTGCTCTCAACTGGAATTACAGCAAGTTTTCTCAAGAGTTTATAAAGATAGGCAAGAGTATCAAAATTAAAAATAAATTAGATAGTAAAAAAGAAATTTTTCGGTTTTTGCACTTCAACACTCTTAATCCAGCAACTTCTGGAAAAATTCATAATCAAATAGGTGGCCAATTTATTTGACCAACCAATCATTGTAACTCGTTTGAAGAATATTTATTGCAGTTGGTCCTTCGAATATTTGTATGTTTGTTTGGCTAATGTCAGAAATATTACCGCGTCAAATTGAGCAGAAGCATAAGCACATTGCAAAAATGAATTACAATAGTTAGTTGCTCTTTGCTCACTCATTTTGATTCTTAGCTTTTTTTTATATATATCAATAGAGAATGTAAAAAGTATTTTTACAAAAAAAAATATTGCAAAGCGGAATTATCAGAGAATACTTTTAAAAAAATTGTAAATTGTTTTACTTTAGAAATTAATGTAAATAAAAAATTACTATGAGGCTGATAAATCGCTAAATATTGAATAAAACATTATCAGAAATAAAAATTGAATAATTTTAAATTTAAAAAAAAGGCCAATCGATCGTTCTATGATAGGTATCAGCTGATCGACGATGATAAAAGATCAAAATATGACGGAAAATTTATCTTATATGTCAAAAAAATTAGCGCGATTTCTGGTTGATTTCTTCTGTCAATAGATAAGCTTGATAAGAAAATAAACACGATCAGGGTCTACCCTGATTTTTTTTGCTAAATATGTTGTCTTTTTAATACTTTCACTGCCTATGCTTGGTCCACTGGCTATTAGAACGAGGCGTTATAAGTTTCGTGATCCGGTGATATATTCGAAAGCAATTCCTTTTCTATCCTCGAAGCCGATCATATTATGTTTGTGCGATTGGGCCCATTCATTCAACAAATTACATTTTGCTAGTGCTTTTGTTATGTAAGATGGTTCCTTAAATAAACCATGAAATCTGGTTTATATTTAACATATTCATTGACGTTGTTCTGCGTAAAGGGCCTTTCTAATCTTATATGTAAATCCAAACCCTAGAAATGGCGCACTGAGAGTTTTTCCGTGCCGTTACAATAATAAATCAGGAATGAAAATTTAAACTCTAATAAAGGCAGCATTATTACTCGATGGCCTTCTTTCAGTTGAATTTACAAAGCCTGAGGACCATATGGATGATGTAATGATGCGTGTTCAGACATTAAAAAAAGCACTGAAAGGTATGTTAGAAATTGCCAGCAATATAGTTTTCCCAAGGCCATTTAAAAATATTTCTATGGCCTAAAACAAGATTTTTATAGAAAATAAAACATAATGGCGTAATTCGCATTAAAAATAATAGAATATGGATGATTTTTTAAATTTGAACTTTCAAAATTTCACTTTTTTTCATGAAATTATCCTATCAAATTTAAGAATTTATTGGATATTTATAGAAAGCTAACAAATGCCCACATGTTTCTTCATAAAAACCTGGATTGATATTCCATGAAAAATGAAAAAATAGCGAATTTCGCCGCTGAGAAAAGCCGTCCAAACTTCTATTATGGCGTAATAAATTTAACCTGGTGATATGAAAAAGCATATTGCCTTGCTTTAAGATTATTTACTTATTTAATTTTCGTTTTGATTTAGCTTCATCAGATCAATTCAATTTCAGAGACCCAAATACCGCAGTGTGAGCACAGAAATGATAATCAACGACGTTTTGAGCGATTACTCAACTCAAAACTCGGTTTTCCATTATATGATGCTCGAGCATATAGTAGGTCATTTATTCGTTTTATTTAAAATCACTCTCCATCGAATTGTCCTCTTCTAAACTTATTTGTAAGTAAATAAATATTTTCTTTTTGAGCCATAAATCTCAAATCCATATCTCTGAGCCGACATTCCAGCTAGTTCTCCTGCAAAATCGTCTGTGGTACTGATTTAATCACTTGGTAGGGATGTTTTCTATTTCAGGTGAGGTCGTTTGCCATTTTCTTCAAGGTCTACATGAACATAGTGTTTGCGTTGATGGAGAATGTACAAAAAGTGCAGATGAAATGAAAACTTTAGCGATGGCTGATGAATATTTGAAAAATATCGCATTATCGCTTCCCAGCCATCCTAGACGGCATCGGCGAAAATTAAACGCTTATCGTGGTCGCATGTCGCGTAGGAATCGACATTTTGCATCATATCTTTTCAATTCACAATTTTTTAATGCTGAATTTTTCGATAATTTTTTTATTTTTTATACGCAGTAGTAAGTAGTGTTTCTTTCTTGATTTCTGTTCGAAATCTTAAAATTCTTAGTTCATCAATAGTTTTAGATGACTTTGGGCCAAAGTGCAAGATTTTGGCCTTCTAATGTATTATATTATAGTTTGTTATTTTTGCTAATAATCTGGAACAGTATGTGTTCAGATTTCAGATTTCAGATTTGTTTGTAGTGCATTTTTCCTATTTGCCATTTATTTCACATATCATCTGTGATCAAAGTTATACTGCTATATTTTGAATCTATATTAGTTGTGCTATGCATTCTTCTTCTTCTTCTACTATCGGTCCTTAGATTATTTCTCCGAGTTTGGAGAGACACCTCAGATTTTTTGCTCAAATTTTTTTAGTCCATTTAATCCATTTTTCCATGATTAACATTGATTAATTTATTCATCAAACAATTTATTTATTAGTTTCTTTCCAAATTTTTGTTGAAATTTTCTTATGAACGATTCACCGCACGACAATACTTTTATTTAAGACGACTAGATGATTAGAAATATACCATTATTAAGTGGTACTATATGTTACGGGCTTTGTCTTTTTCTTTTTTTTCGGGTTTCCATTGAAACTTTTGCTTTGCATTTTTTGCACTATATTTCAATTTTGCACTATTATAAAGTTTATCTGCCTTTTCATGTCAATTAATGCTTTCCGATGAGGTATATAAGTTTTGTGATCCTTTGACCTTTTGGGTCATTGATGGATACATCCTATTTTGAGCTTATATATTATTATGCTGAATTATCCAGTCATAACCTCATCATCATTACAAATACTCATAAACTGCCAAAATGGGTTAAAACATCAATAAGACGCCATGTGTCAGCAGAAAATTTTATTTTTTTGTATCCATTTATTTGTCATTGTCCGCTTGGAATTTCTAAAGAAAGAAGAAGTTTTTGCATTTCATTTCCTGGGAATTCCGAAATTTCCTCGCGCCACGAACTCGCTTCAGATATCATTCAGTTTTCTACGATTAGTGGATTGATCATCTCATTTAATACCAATGTTGTGGCATTTCGAAATTTATATATATTTGTTCAGCTTTGCTTTTTTGTGCAATATTTTCCTTAATATAATTTGTATTTTTATTCCAAATTTACTTGAAATTCATGCAAATTTTTATTTTTATTTTTTATTATTTTCTCGTCATTTTTGCTTCTTAAAAGAAGAAAATTTTACTGAGAAATATTTTAGATTTCAATCATATTTTTTTCGCTCCAAAATCCAAATCCAAATGATAATTTTGCTGCCTTTTTGTTTCCCTCTTGCACAACTCATATTTTTAGTGCAATTGCTAAATAAACGTGCAATATCTCAGATATGCAGCTTGTGCATTGTTCTATTCATTTACAGTATATTTTTGTTGCTCGAGTCCAAATCATCAATGTTACATATTATTTAAGGAACCAGGCCACCTATTTGATCTTCAATTCCAAATATGGACTTTGGCATATTCATTTCATGAATTTCATGAATTTAAAGGCATACTGCTTGAATTATTGATGACCCAAAAAGTTTGAATCGATTAATTGGCCTAATTTGATATTTTGTTCGTGATTTTCTAGTTTTCGTAACAAATGGATTAGCTATCAACCTCATTGGCCTAATTTCTAATAACGGCTAAATATTACGTAACCCAAATTTCGATCATCTCTCTCCATGATATAATCAGCATTGATGAATGAAAGAGATGCCAAATGATTAAATAAAAATGCCATTAAAGAATTTTTAAATTTGAATTTGAAATCGTTTAAAGAATTTCAAAAATATTTATTCTTTATTTGACGATGATTTTAACAAATTTTCAAAATAAAAATTTATTCAAAAAATTTAAAAGATTTAAAATTTAAAAATTTCAAATAAAAAAGCTAATACTCCAGCGCTGAACAAATTGAGCCCATTAGTTCTTCCACAAGCGATTTGACTAGTTCCATGGGCCGCTCATCAGGAAGAGAATAAGAGGAAGGAGAAAGAGGTATAGATAGTCTTCTTCGCCTGCTTATGTGCATTGAGATAGATATGGAAAGCTTGTATGGAAATATATTCTCTACTATCTCTTGGCTTATTTGTAATAAATTGAGCTGGAATGGGTTAGGAAAGATAAAGTTATGGACAGAATGGAAATTGTCGAAATAAAAAAGAGTTTTTAAGATTTAAATGGTATTCATTAAAAATTTTTTTTGTACCAATGAATCCTCTAATTTCATTTTGTGACCATTGATAAATTATAATCATTGTTATTGATATGGTAAAATTTAATGCTGAAATTATTTTTTTCATAAAATTAAAAGATTAACAGTTGTTAGCCATATTTTTCAAAATTTATGACATATTTTATAGGCGACAAGTTCCACAGAAATCGAAAATAGCTAAGATACCTCCTCACATAGCAATAAATGTCGTCGGAACTAACATTCGAAGATGGCCTATAGTCACTATTTGCGTATTTTACAATATTTTTTAATGAGATATATTAATTCGCCATATTTGTCGGATCCAATATAAAGCCTTTGAATTAATTTATAAATTTTGCAAAATCTGCATAACATAATTCCATCAAATTTCTCGAAGCCTTCCTTGATATCAACGCCAACCCTCCGGAGGATTCCAACCATATTTTGTTATTGTTTTATTTGTTAATTGAATGAATTCTTTTTGACACTCAATTCTTGATTTTCCTAAAAACTGATAATTAATCTTTTTGATAAATTAATCTTCAAATATAATCACATAATGATAAATATTACTGTACTGCAAAAAGGCTTCTAAAAAAAGGTGGATTTACAAAGCATTTATGGTTGAAGGAAGTTTGATTTTGTCAGTAAAATTAAAATCACCAGAAAATTTTAAAATTTTGAAAAATTTAAAAGTTTGAAAATTTTCCAAAGTTTCTTTTCATTATGAAGCAAAAAAATAGCAAAAGAAAACCTTTAAGTTTTTCCCATAATTCACCAAATTCTAGTGAGTTATTTCCATCTAAAATTAAAAGATTAAATTTATTATAAAAAAATTATTTTTAAATTATTTTTATTAAAATTATTTTAGAACATAATAAAATCATAAAATTAATGAGAAATAAAAGAAGCAAAATTAGTGAAATTTTAAAAAAAACTAATAAAGTAATAAAGAAAATTTAGTGAATTAGTGAAATAATATGAAATTAGTTTTCGTCAAAAATTTGATCAATTTTATTTTTCCCAATGATAACATTGCATGATTTTTTCATCACTTTTATCATCTTTTATCATTTTAAATCACTAATTTAAATTCTTTTAATGCAAAAAAAATGTTTCTCTAAGCAAGGAGCATAGAGAACGGTAATTAATATCCAAAATTTTCCATGATACCGTAGTCACCAACGGTGATTTGCATATAAAGTGCGTCCAACTCTCGAATTATCTCCTGTGGAACTTCGAAATTCCCGTGCTCTCCTTTATATCCAGCTCTACTCATTTTATCCACTGCATTTGCAAAGTCCTTAAAAGACTATTGACTAAGACTGTTTACATTATTTGATATTATTTGATTTGTGACCGATTGATATTCTAAGAAAAACGAATAGTTCAGTCATTTCAATTTTTTAAATCGCAATTTAATAAGTTTTTTACTTATAAGTTAGTCGGTTGTTGCCAAAAATTTAGTAATTAAACTTTATGGTTTGCTATTGCTAATATTAAATGGTTTTATGCTAGAGCTTTTTAATTTATGAAAGAAAATTACTAAAAAATATCAAAATATTTACAGCATTTTTTGAAAAACAACTAAAAAATATTGTAAATATTATAATTTTATAAGTTACAAATGGTGCTTTTTAAGAGAAATAAAAATTTTTTTAAAAAAAATTTTTCAGAAAATTGAAAATCTGCTATCTGCTATGTATCTGCTATGTTAGTAAAAAACGTATTAAGAAAGGGATTTCGAATTTTGCTGAGCATCTTAGATTCGGAATTTCCGACTTTAACTGATGAAAAAATAAATCACGAAATTCGAATAATTCTGACGACCCATCTGTGTTCCAATGTTAGGTGATTGCACGCGAAAATTTCTGACTTTACTAACTAATAGCAGTGGAGTTAGCCAAACCAGAAAAAAGAGGTAAATCGTTTCTTCTTGATAAAAATTCACTGTTTCTTTTTTCAGTTTCACCAAAAAAATTTTCAGTTTGAAAAATTCATTAAGTTAATTGATAATTGCGAGAAAAGAAGTTGATGGAGATGAAATGAAGAAAATTTAACCTTCAGCCAATTTCAGAAACAAAATCTTAATTAATTTAATGTAACCTTTAAGATAGAAGGTGAAAACTAATTTCTTCGTTTAACTTCTGCGAAAAAGAGCCGAAAAAACAGTAATAGCACAAACTAATTCATGTTTCGTCGGCTTCACTGTTGAGATAAGTCTTTTCGCCAGGAAATCAATCATTTGGAGAATAGAAGTATAAATAACCAGTAGGAGCCAACATCAGGAAATTTAAGCCGTTATCACTTAGGCATGTGGCAAGAAATGAAGGAAACCACGTATGTTCTCGAGCGACTCTCTCACAAAACTTTCATAGCATAGCGTCAGCCTAATTCAAAGGCGGTGAGTACAAACCAATAACTTGCTTAAATTGAAGACCAACTTTAAGACTTCAAAAATTTACGGGTTTGGAAATTAAATTTAAAAGTTTACTTTATCTCGCCACAAATCTTTATCCTCCCGATGCCTTCGTTCCCAATAAGCTTTGAATTGCTTTTCACGTTCTTCTATTTCCTTTTGTTCACGTTTAAATCGTAACCATCTGAAATAAAAATTTCAGTATTACAGGAAACCAGGCAATTTTCATACGAATAATTTAAAACAATGAAATATTAAATGAATTCGGAAAAGTTTAAAAAAATTTACTGGATTCTAGCGGCATTATTTTTTTTATCTCGTTTGCTAATCAGCTTTTCAACCATTTCTATAATAAATTTATCATCTTCTCCATTTGAATCCTTATCACTTTCCTCCGAATTCTCTTCATCGCTTTCTTTCATACTTTTATCAGATTCATCAGATTTTAATAAATCTTGAACGACTTTTGATCTCTCCTCTTCGCTGTCTTCGGTTTCTGTTGATCCATATGAACTCGACTTCTCCTCTTCATTTTCAGTGTGTTCACTTCCAATGGATTCATGTCGATTCTCCTTATTCAATTCCACAGTTTTTCCGCTACTTGAACTAGTGGAATCTTCCGAATCCGAATTCTCTTTAGAGCTTGTTTTGATCGCATCACTGATACGAACTCGATTTCCATACATTTCTTTAGAGTGTATTTATGCGTTTAGAACTATTTTATGATATTCAAGAATTTAAAAGAACTAAAATTTGAACGTTTTATTAGTGGCGAAAATGATGAAATATATGAACATAATAACAATTTCCTTTATGTTTGAAAAAAAAGTAAGTAGAAATGAAAGAACTAAATATAATATCGCTATCACTCCTTCTCAATAAGTTACGATGAACATAAAAATCATAAAAATTTTAACGAACGAAAGAATGAAAAGTACCATAGATTATGGAAATATAACAAAATAATTCTTAATTCCATTCCCTGTATTTCATATCAACAAATTATGTGCCATGATTCTAATTTTTCTTTATAAAAAATTAACGAAAGATTTATGAACATTTTTGCAATTTATAAGTATCAAAATTTAAAAAATTTTAAATTTTAAAGAAGAATGGAAAGACGATAAAAAGTTTCATAGAACCGATTGAATTGTAGGAATCATTATTTCAATGTACCTCGAAATCATATGAACTGAATTTCGAAAGCACAGCATTTCACAAATCGCGTTTACTAAACTGATCATAAAAATAATGATTGAAATTGTTAAAACAAAAAAAAAACATATGAAACATAAGAAATGATGAGCAAACATTCTATTGGTTCAGCGTCCACTTAAGAACTGCTAATTTCACAAATTGGCACCAATTTAAGTTTCCATTTCCATTGGAACATCCGTATTACATTCATTCAATTTGTCCTATAATTTGCATAACACAAATAAGAAAAGAAAATGAAAATAATTAAATGAACAACAATATTTCGAATATTTCAAAAAGCAATTAAAAATGTTTTATGTTTTAAAATAAATCATAAAATAAATATCTCTATAAAATTAAAAAGAAAATGAAATAAAATTTAGAAAAAGACAAAATTTACCTCGATAATATTCGCGATTTTCGTCATACTTCCTTTATTTCTTCGTTTTTTGCTTCCAACAGCTTTATAGGCACGAATTGCTTGCTAAAATGATTTAGAGCTTTCCAAGCGAAGATATATTATTAAAGATATATTTAGCCATAGATATTACAGTAATCTATGAATCTATGAATTTACGAAAAAATATGAAAAATATACCTTCACAGAGTGGCTTATTTCAGGATCCACCTTCAGTAAAAACATAAAAACACCACCAGGAGTTCTCCTCCTACTTCCATCTGCCACCAATAAACCACCTGCTTTTTCCACGTTCTTCGTCTGATTAAATAATCTAATAGCTGCATCTTTTCCAACAGCTACAATCGCCCTTAAAACAAAAATTTGCAGGAAAAATTTTAGGACATTAAATAGAAAATATTTATCATTCCTTTTTTCGATTTTTCATGATAAGTGAATAATAGGATAAGGGAATGAATAATTTCAACTGCTCATATTTATCATTCCCACAAAGCAATGACTCTAAAACTAACTTATTAACAACGTCGCAAGTATCTCTTTCACCAAGAATTCGCGCCATTTCTTCAGCTAATTGTGGTAATTCCAACTCCTCAGATATTTCATCCAATAGCACCGGAATTTTCGGTTTTTTGACACTGAAAACTTCTTGATATCTATTAATATGGAAATATTTAAAGCAATGCAAAAAAAATTTGCTCAATGTTCTTTCAGATTCTCCTTTCTCTCCTCATCTCTATTTCAATATCAAATTTCTAATTCCAATATCACAAAACGATAATTTGGATGCATGTTAAAATTATTATTTATTATTACTCACTTGTTAGCAGCTACAAATGCCTCAGAGGAATATTTATTTCGCCTCCCTTGTTTTCTTTTTTGACAGAAATTAACGAATGAATTCAACATTTCATCGAAATTTCTGCCACGAACTAAAAATTAAAAACTAGAATGCTGGGAAGAATTAAAATAAGTTGCTTAAAAATTAAAAAAATTGGGTTTTTATAAAGAAAAGAAAACATCCAATCATGTTCATAAATATACCTTCTTTTCCTCGTCTCCTTTTATTAATTCTTGATTTACCTACAATAAAAAAATGATGAAAAGAAATGATAAAGTAAAAAAAAGATCAGATGTATATAGCAAAGGAATAGGATGCAATATAAATATTTCGACGCTAAAAAGAACAATGCGAAAAAAATGATATCTTTCATTCTGAAGAGAAAAACAAAGCAAAAACTAGACATTTTACTTTGATTAGTATTACGAATCCAACTTGAAGCCAATCGATCAAGATTTTTTTGTTTCTTCATGTTCTTATACTGAAAAATAATCATGATTGTACAGATAATAATAACAAATAACAGAGTAAGCAATATCATAAAAAAGGAATGAATACTAACTCTATTTCCATCAGATTGGCTATTTCTATTTTCTTCATTAACACATGCAGAAAAATCGCTACGCGAAATAGTTGAGGACGAAATCTGTTAAAAAACTGTTAAAGTTAAAAGGTTAAAAAATTCAAAAACTATGAACTTAAAAAAATATAAAAAGGAAATTTATTTACTTATTTTCATATGAACGAGAAACGATCGCTATATATTTTAATCCATTTGTCTTTCATTTTACTTCGATATTTAGGTCTCAATAAAGCAAAAAGAGAATCTTACTACAAATAAGCAATTTTACTGTTTTCAAAATATTTATATACAGATTTTTTAAAAAAAGAAAGAAATATTTACTTTTGACTTATATGAACCATCACTAGAATTGGAGTCAGTGGAACCAGGAATGGAATAGCTCTCAACTCCTCGATTAATTGTCATATCTTCATTAACTTTAACGCCGACTTTCGACAGTGTCTGTGATAAACCCTCTTCTGTAAAAACATCCTGCCACATCTCTCCAATCAATCTAAAATATGGTTTTTTGAAATGAAAATTTCATAATTAATCAAATTTTTATAGTTATGAAAATTTAAATCGCAAGCTGCGAATAAAAAATCAAAAAGTCTATCTTTATTTCTTGGTTAAAAAATTTTCATCTGAAAGGAATATTTTTCAGAAAAATCTTTTTTTTGATAATCTTACTTATTCTTAATTTCGTGATCGTAGGGCTTTGAATTGCCAATATTTTCCACAAAAAATCCATTTTCATCCTCTAATAACGCAGATTCACTTTCCGAATCGTTAGATTCTCTTTGTGCTTTATTTCTATACATGTCGAAACTTCTCTGAAGAGATTTATTTTATACAAAACTTCAAATTGCCTACCAGAGTGACCGCAAAAAGATGACCAAAAATTCATGACCAAAACATTACACCCTTGAACTCTTTTTAAAAATTCAGCAACATTCAACTGGTTCGATGCCAACAAAAACGTAGCTGCTTTGTATATCGGATTTTTAGTTGCATTATCAAACTCGTTATCGGCCAACATTCGGCAACGTTAAACAACTTTAATAGTTTATCCTTTGCAAAATAAGCTTATTAAAGATATTTACTATAGATTATTTTTTAAACAGTTATCACCATAACTGGTTAAACTCGCTCCGCTGGCCTATAGCACTGGGCAAATATGCCAGAGAGTCCTTTGGAGATAGACAGGTAAGTCGCCAGCATTACCAGGATTTTTGGACAGATTTACTGGAAAATGCAGGGAATCGAACATCAGCATCGGCGCTCCGAACTGAGCAACAACCCACTAAGACATTCTATCCCCTACAGATTAAAGAATGCTGATTTCAGGTAAAACTTTTTCTTGTAATAACTCTCACCATTACTGACCAGCTCCGCTGGCTACAAAGGTAAGACATCTCTAGGCTATTCGGTCTGAAGCCATCGCTGACAATAGCGAAAACCATTTCTTTCCCCACTATCGAAGTCCATATACTGTTGGTCCCCCTATATATTCAAAATCTTTCATGTCTATGTCAGTCCACGTCTTGATTGGACCACCTCGCTTTTGACGCCAACCATCACAGGGTTTACCAAGCAACGAAATATGCATCAACTTCCGTGATGGACGACGAAGAACATGTCCTAACTAGCGAAGGCGACGCTCTATCAAGTGGAATGGAAGTGGTATTCGAGCGTTTGAGTGATGGTGAATGCGATCATGTAAGATTTTATCAGCTTGACGAACTCGCAAAATGTGATGGCCAGAGGAAGTTCCACTACTCCATCTGCACGTCTCGCGGTCAGTCCAGCAGCAAGATCGAACGAACTGCTTAACATATTTCCGCAAGTACTGCAGCCGTGCAACTAATTCCAATAATTATGTTTCATCCCTCTTATTACGCACCTTTCAATTGTAAATTACTACGCTACCACTTACACGGTGTTAGTGTTCTGAAGATTAGTTTAATTAGAATTATCATAAAACAGGTCAAATTAATTGCTAATCTGCGTCTTATAATATGCGCAACAGCTGCATTTTAGACACATCACAACGGTTCTGTGTGTATTATTCCTGGAACTCCAATATTCTTCTTCTATTTCTTCGAGGACTGTTTGAGTTTCATACATCGCAGTGGAACTCCTTAGATTTCATCCTATCCCCTTAACAAGTTCTAGTTCTAGTTCCACTCCTCCTTAAATCCTGACTATTCATCAAAATACTCTTCTTTCCTCAAACCCCATGATATATCGTCCTTAGCATTTCCCTCTAAAACGCGATATTATTCCAAGTCTTATAGTCTATTCTGATTCGTTGTGAGTGCTTGTTTTCGCTGGTTTTGATAAGATAGGAATTAAATCCTTTCAAAAATATACCAAAAAAATTATTGTTTAATCATTTATCATTTAAAATAAATTATTCTATAAAATATAAAAAATATGCATAAATATAAAATATCATACAAATTGATAATTAAAATTCTACCAAATGGAGAAATTTGGGAAAATATAATATTAAATATGAAAAAATAGACAATACTTGAATACTTAAAAGATATACTAATATAGTATCTTCGACAAATTAATGAATAAACTTCCAACCAAAAATCTTCAACCTTTGTTGTGCATATTTCCCCATCCTCGTCGATGAACTAAAAATTAATAATTGAGAAACCTTATGAAAATTTCTGATAAGTTTCGAATATTTTCCCAAAAAAATTCTTTGGGAAAATTATTAGGTTTTAAACGAGAAAAAAATTCACAAATTTTATATGTAATAGATAAGGAAAAAATATTTCATAAATTGGCATAAACTTTACAAGTGAAATTCGCTTAAATGAGGGTTCTTTTCCATGATCGGTGATTAAAAAATCTTGAAAAATTTTAGAATTATTTTAAATTTAAGGACAATAAATGCTATATAAAATTTTATGAAACAATTGAATTTCAATTTAGTAATAAGTTAGAAATTTTTTTTTCTTTTTTTAAAGAGTTTTCATCATTACTGGTTAAACCCGCTCCACTGGCTTATCGCATTGGACAAATAGGCCTGAGAGTCCCTTGGCAATAGAAATACAGGTGAGTCACCAGCATTATCCAGGTTTTTGTTCGAACAAGTTCGAAACAACTAAATGCAAACAACTAAATCTATTAGATTAAACTAAATCTATAAAAAAATTTATTTAAACTTTAAAAAATGTACAGTCTTTATATTCATCCCACTTTATAGCTTTTTCTCGTTTTTCTTCTTGAACTTGTTCATCATCACTATCATCCGACTTGTTTTCCGGCACAACGCTAGCAGAGCTTGAATTTGCAAAACTAAATTTGAAATCTAAATAAAGAATAAAAGAAGATATATATGTATGGTGAATAAGAAAATAGATGATTCCAAACCGATCGTAAAATTTAAATTTAAAATATTCTTAACCTCTTAAAGTGTGGTCATGAGATAATCCTTAAAACTAACCCTCCGGTATTCGCCATTTCGTCATACCATTCATTGACTGTCATCTTTGGTACGCTTGGATAACCAAGACCGAAAACTTTCTTTTGAATTTGATCACGAGTTATTATGAAAGGCGGCCTTGACTGAGGAGCTAGAATCAACAATTATGACCAAATAAGCATCAATCAGCATGCTGAAGGAAGAGCAACTATTTCATATAAAAATACCTTATAGAGAAAAATTCTTTCTTTTGAAAAAAGTTCTTTTAAAGCATAAAATTACGTTTTACTAGAGGATCTGCTTTCAATTCACCAGATCGAATTTTAAGCATACGTTCTGCTAAGGGTAATTCTTGTTCAATCATTTGTAATTCCGACAAGGCTTTCAACGCAGATAAACGAACACGAGTAAGATATAATTTGCGCTAAAAATCTGATTAATTTATTTCATTCCAATAAGAAAAATTATAGCGACCAGATTTTTTAACAATTTTTTGCCTTTAGAAATTCCGAATCATTGCTAATAAAAGTTTGAGGTTAGTAATATCCCATGGGTCCGACTCCTATTCAGGAATAAACCTCCCGTTCTGGGTGGTGATAGAAACATATCTGTACCTTTCCGATTCTAGTACTAACCAAGCCCAACGTTGTTTAAATTGACAGATTGGAGCAATTTCCGACTGGCAAAAATTAAATATGCTAATAGTCAGCGATAAACAGTTACTTAGTTACGACCCATATAAATTTCATATAATTTATAAAAAAATGTTTACATCATTTAATGTTTGAAGTTTAATGCGTAAATAAACAAGCAAAAACCATAAAATTATATCATTTGACAACTGACAGATGATTATTTTTTGCTTATATATTTTACATTATTTTTCACATTAGGACACATGCACATGCAGTTTCGCCTTTAAATTAACAAATCTCTAACCAGAAGGGAATCGTCTTCTTCACCACGATCATATTGCGTCTGAAGTATTTTTAGGCTTTGTTCCAACTGTCTTTGTTGTTCATACATTCTCCTTTTTTTATTTCTTAGTTCGAAAATATCGTTTGACTTCACTTGCCTTTCTTCCATATCAACATCCTCATCTATCCAAGGCAACGTAAAATCAATAACTTTATAAAAATGTAACATTTCCAAGAAACTCCGGAAATACCTCTGGAAAAACGAATATATATAGTATTTCGAAAACAAAAATTTTTCATCTGCTGGGTAAAGACGATTTCATAAATAAATTTACGAATCTTCCCGGTGAGTCATTTGACGACAGAAGCACAGTGAATCATCAGCATCATCAGGATTTCTTCAATGTGATTTACTTTACTACAAGGGGAAGGGGGCTCGATATTACCACTCCGAATTGAACGACAACACACTGAGTCATTTTATCTGATTGACTTTTGCTTTTGCCGTTCTACAAGACTGACGACCGACGAAGTATGGTGTGCGCCAAGAACACAAATTATTGACAGTGAATTATTGAATTGTTGATTACTTTTTAATAAAGTTAAAACAGAAAATCACCTTCGCTTTATTCAAGATATCAACCCGAGTTTCCGTTGGATTATTTATATTTTGCGTTAGTGTTGCCATAAACGATGGTAGCAATAAATACTTAATATAATTCGCAGGTATATCATCAATTGTTTCATTCTCGCTAAAAAGCGCTCGAGCTGTTACTTCATGGATCAAAACTTCGAGCCGTTCGATACATTGCGATAGTTCTTCCTATTTTGAGAAATAAAATTTATAACACTTTGCCATAATATTAATATTTATAATATTTTTATAAAAATATATATAAAAATATATATAAAAATTTATAATAATTTAAAATATATAAAAAATTTATATTATTTTGAATTTTTCAAATTTAAATAAATTTAAATAAATAAATATAAAATATTTTACAAAAAAAGAAAAAAATCTCTAATATGATCAAAAATAATGTGAAATTCTGAGAGTTTATTATTCAGATGTATCAGATTTAATATTTTTAATAAATTTCGACTAAAAAATTAGAGAAAAATTTTACAGAAAATGTCGGGGCTCCACCACTTTCTTGTTCCAATTTCGAAACAATTCCATCACAAAATCGAAATTCTTTTTCTAAATTAAAATCGCTTCCAAATTCCGAATCTGATTTTACATTTCTCTCACTCATTCTGCAATAATTAAATCTTTAAATAATATTGCTTAAATGTTGAAAATAGATTAAAATGTTTAAAATATTTTAAAAAGACGAGAATGAAGTACAGATTTGTGCGAGAAAGAAAACAATAATAAATAGCACAAAACACTGCTATAAAAGTAAAGCCGAGTGGGAGTTCTCCACTTAATTCTTCGCATGTGAAGAAGGTATTCAGATATGCAAAAAAAAGGCAAAAAGAAGACACTTCCTCTAAAAAATAAGTAATCAGCCAAGCTAGAAATGGTGCAAGCTATTTGCAATATAAAACCAAAAAGGCTGAAACTAAGCAGCAAAGACCAACCAAGTATACCAAGTCAAATGAAAGTTGCGTCAAATCAGATCAAATCAGAGCAGTTAAAGCAGCCGATCATAGATCATATAACGTACGTTCAAAGCAGTGCAAATATACCAAATAATTAAATGTTGAAAATAGTTTAAAATATTTTAAACTATTTTCAACATTTAAGCAGTGCAAATATACCAAATAATAATTAGTTGAGGAAAATAAAAATTCTTGGATAAATAACGTGAAAAATAGGAAATAATAAGACCATGCTGACAGAATATTCACCAAACAAAAAAAAAGAAAGGTGGCCATAACCTGAGAAGCAGTCACGTGAAAGGGCCAGGCAGAGGTCACGCAAAGGTCACGCAAAGGTCAACGCGTTGAAATGTTCGCCAAGCAAAAAATTGGCATCCATTCTCATAACGCGGAAAATCTAAATCGTAATATTACAATTGTCAACAATATTCTTTTACATTGCTAATTAAATGCGTATCGTCGATCGGACTCTCTGCTTTGCATTTACTTACGGAAGGGCAATCCCACCGCTTATTCTGCCAACAATAAACCATTCTTTTTTATACCTCACCGAGCGACCAAAACTCTAATAAATAAAGATATTCGCAAGGGGCTTCAAATATAAAATAAAAACTGCAACTGTATTTTAGAAATACGAGCTGCTAAATAGTAAGGCCGACTATTTCGAAAGATCAGTCGGGAGATTGCCATTTTGGCCTCTGAATTCTTTTCGGATCTTCAGTATGATTGAAGGTTGGCTGGTTGGGTTAGTTGGTGGGTCATTCCTTATTTTCTCTTGCAATAAGATCGTACGGAGAGAATGGAGGAGAAAAAATAAGACCGATCGTTTACGTCTTCTAAGATATAAGGAAAAAATTCGCGGATAGAAAGAATTTAATCCAAAGTGCAGACTTATTTGGTTCCCATGAAATTTCATATACAACAATAGTAAACTGAGGTTGAAAAAATCGAAATGTTGCAAAATTGACGTCCTAAATGTATTCATTGACAAATGTGGATAGAATGGCTCAATGGGTTGTTGCTCAGTTGGGAGCGCCGGTGCTGAGGTTCGATTCCCCGCAGGAGTAAACCTTACAAAAATCCGAGTGATGTTGGCGACTTATCTGTATTTCTGTCGCCAAGGAATTCCCTGGCATGTTGCCCGGTGCGATAAGCAAGTGGAATGAGTTTAACCAGTAACCACTGATAAATGTGCAGGCACTGGTGGTTGTGTCGTATTTTGCTCTTGTCAGTTGATGCCATATAATATAAATAAATCATCGTAAAAAATGGGGTCGTAGGTAATGACTTGGCACCTGTGCTCATATCTTCATGCGAATCTGCCTCGAAAGGGCGAAAAAGAAAGATCTGTAAATTACCGCAATAATTAGTCAATGGAGGTAGCCAACCCAACTGATTTAGCAAAAAGACTGATTTAACAAAAACAGCATCCAGCGGCGCTTACGCAACCCAAGTATTCATTGCTTTTCGTTTAGAATCTGAAATAACTATGGATGATTCGGAAAAAAACAGCGATGAAGACGCTATGGAAGTGGAAGATTCAGTTTCGGATGCGAAAAAAACTACAAAATCAAAAAAACCAAAGGTGAATACCAAAGGTTTTTTATTTCTTTTTATTGCGGTTCAAATAATACTTTGTAATTGTACTTTGATTATAACTAATAAGTAATGATGAATAACTAACAGTGGCAACAAATTTAATATAAATGAATAAATTAACAAAAGGAGAAAATTAATAGAATAGAATTAATAAAATGCTGCACATTTCAGGTGTATGTTCCTGGTGTAAGTCGTGCATTAAAAAGCGGTGAAGAATGGGAATATGATCCTGAAGCTTATAGGATTTTTCATAAATTTGAATCTGGTCGAGTCTTTTTTCTGTTAATTTTTTTAAAAGTATTTGTGAATATTATATTTTTTGTTTTTTATTTAAAAACGAGTTTTTTTTCTTGAAATGTGCTTTTACAACTATATTTCTTTTGTATAATATTACAATTTGAATAATTTTAAGTTTTATTTAAATTTCATATTTTTTAATTTGTTTTTAGATTGGCCATGTCTTAGTTTTGATATCATTAATTCAGTGGATAAAGATGATTCTTCTATGACGCTCTCGTTAATCGCAGGATCTCAAGCAGATTCGCGAAATATAAGAAATAATCAGCTTTATGTTATGAAATTAGTAGGAATTACACCTATAGTAGGTTAGTCATTTTGTTTTCTCTGAAATTCTGCGAATACATATTTCTGAGTTTTAAAAACTTTTGCAAGTTTCACTTATTGATAATTAGTCGCAATTCATTATTGGCGTATGACATTTTTTTTAGTGATTTCTTTCTCTTTTGCGCTAATTTGATATCATAATGGAATTTTTTGAATTCCATTAATTATAATAAACTTCATCTAAAAAAATGAATAATATATATTTAGAAGCACATTCTTTGTTAATCAAAAATTTCAGAAGAATTGGATGATTCTGATGACGATTACGACGAAAATCGTCGTAGCCCTGTAATGCATTGCGTGTCAATTAGGCATCATGGAGAAGTTAATCGAATCAAGGTGGGAAAAATTTCGTCTCTCAGAAGGAAAGCAAAAGGCCACTTTGGGGTCGGCCATCTTCCACTCCTTTTTAAGCTCGACTGCAGAACTTTTCGTTGGGCCCCCATTCGTCAATGGGTTTTATTTTTATGAATCATCTGTTTACGGAATCTCCTTTACGTATTTGCTATTTTTGCGTGCTGAATTATGTATCTCTGAACTCGTAAAAATTGCCTTTTTAAATCGTCTTTTCGTTGGTCACGACTGAAGTAGTTTTTTGGCAAGGCAAATACTAACTCGAATCCATTTAATTTTTACGACCCCACAAGTAGCCCTTGCTCCTCGAGACTATCATTTAGCGAAAGCATGGCGTGCCATTTGGATTCGAACTAACAGATTAACACAATATAGTCACCGCTACAAGCTTAAAAATTGTCTTGTCAACTTCACTCTTCATTGATCTTTGATTGATGAATATTTAATTTGTTGACAAGCTCACTGCTGGTTTGAATCCATTTTATTTTTCTACCCCATTATAGGCTTTTGCTTTCGTTCATTCTGCGACGTTCTTAATATCTTGATCTATGAAATCTCTTATCCAATTGTTTCAAATTTTTATGTTAAGGCCACAAATTTGGGTCAATCTACGGTTTGTGCTGTGTGGAATAGTTTTAATAAAGTTCAGTTGTGGAATGCAACTAATGCACTAAATTGCATCAATAATCTCGATTCAGATGCAAAAATTTTACGGAAAAGTCTGGATGAAAAACCGTTAATGTCATTTGAAAGCAGTATTGATGGATATGGTATTTCATGGTCATCTCTCAAAACTGGTTTGTTGAAATTAATTTATTAAATTTTGATAATTTGTTAAATTTATTCTTATCTAAATTTATTCTAATCTATTTTCTTGAAGTGATAAAGTATTGCATTTCAAAGAACATTTTGAAGCAATTTATTTAAAAATTTTTGTTACTGTTCCTTTTTTAAAGGTAGATTGGCCAGCGGTGACAAGCATGGAAAAATATTCATATGGACAATGGCCGAAGGTGGCACCTGGACTGTTGATCAGCGTCCTCTTGTTGGTCACAAAGGTTCGATAGAAGATCTTATGTGGTCACCAACTGAAGAACCCTTACTTGCTTCCTGTTCTGTTGATTCCACAATTAAATTATGGGATATACGGTATTCTAATACCTTTTTAATTCTAATACTTATTTTTAATTTTTATTAAATTTTTTTGAAACTTTTCCATCCTTTTTTTGTGTACAGATTTTTGCAGTGTTGCGAGGAAGGAAGCTTGCGTTTGTACTGTTTCCAATGCTCATGCATCGGATGTCAATGTTTTATCATGGAACAAGTACGAACCTCTCTTGCTAACTGGTGGTGATGATGCTGTCTTAAATATTTGGTCCTTGAAAACCATACAGGTGTTTTTTGATACCTATGCTGGTTCTGATTTAAAAAAGAAGTCTAGAAGTTAAGAAATCAGTGTATAAATCAATAAATCAATGTGGAACGTGTAGATCACGCTTTGATAACTGTTTTTTCAGTATAATGAAGCAGTCGCACGATTTAAGCATCATAAGCAACCAATCACATCAGTTGAATGGTCACCACATGATTCAACAACAATGGTAGCGTCAAGCGAAGATGATCAAATAACAATTTGGGATTTGTCGGTGGAACAGGATGAAAGTGAAAATTTGAAAGGTGTACCGCCTCAACTTTTATTTATACATATGGGTCAGAATGAAATCAAAGAGGTAAATTATCATTAATCATCACATGGATCATTTTCTTTTTCGAAAAATATTCAAACATTCAACTTTTTATCCCAAATTAGTTCTTTGTAAAAATTCTGATCCGATTCAGTCATATGTGTTAAATCTTACGTACTTCAGGACGGAACTTTCAATATATTTTATTTATTTAAATAAATCTTAAATTTTACGTACTTATTATCTTTCTATATATTTAAGGTTCACTGGCACAATCGATATAAGGGACTTTTGGTAACGACAGCTGTCACTGGTTTCGATGTGTTCCAACCTTGCAACATAGCTTGAGAATAAATTTATTATCCATTAGAAATGAAAATTTGTTTATTCTTTTTGTTTTACCATAAACTTTTTTAAATATTAGCAGAAAAGGTAAACCCAGTATTTACTTTGTTTATATTTCATTTATTTTGATATTCAATTATATTTCTTTAATTTTTTTAAAGCAAAAAAGGCAAAAAAAAGGATCATTTTATTCTTTAATGCGAAATGTTGGTCAAATCACAAATAAATATTTTGTCGGATCCATGAATACTGATCGGTATTTATTTCTAATAGCGCATGTCTGGTCTCGGGATGGAAATTTCAATATATTTATATAAATAAGTGAATGTACCCTATATCGGCAAAAGCAATTCATCTTCCACAATGCCCAAGAAATAACAAGACAAGATTTTGGCAAATTATCGACTCAAGAAATAATATATATGTTCAGACGGTACAATTAAATCAAATAAAAAGTGTTACCATCTGAGATTAAAGGATTCCATTATACTCTTATCGACAACTTGATAACTGGAATAAAATAATTTCTCAAAACTATCATTGAAAGATGCCCATTCATTTTTTACCCGTTCTATTTCACATTCCATTTCTGCACTTGGTATCAACTGCCGATATTTTTCTTCAACTCGGGTTAAAATATTTTCACGTTCTTCCGTTGTTTCTGCGCGAATTTGACCGCCGCCATTAGCGCAACCCGATGGACAAGCCATAATTTCGATATAATCAAATGGACATTTTTGCCGTTTGATTTTTTGCACAATATTCTGAATATTTCGGAAGCCATAACATTTTGCCACCGTTAGCAGAACAAGTTCGCCTTTTGCTATTTCAAATATTTCTAAATTCTTTGCCCTATAATTTATGTAAATTTGATGAAAATTAAAATCAATCCAACAAATGAAATAAACAAATCGAAAAAAAAGCTTGCTTTGATGACTTCCGCACTTCCAGCGGACCTTGGTATTCTTTTAAAAAACGAGCGATGATATAATCTGCATAGCCTCCTGATGTATTAGCGAACAGATCATTCGATATATTTTCAAACTGACCAATTATGATCCCTCTTTCTAGAGCAGTTAGCCAGCCACCTGACGAAGGTGCAACTTGGTTTGCGAAAATTTCTTCTGAACAATTGCCCAAAATATCATCAGCCTCAGCTGAAAAAGATGTTTAGTCGCTGCTTAGATGAAAAACAATACAATATTCTTTTGATAAATTCACCAATTTCAAAGATCACAATAAAACATAGTTTAACAAAATTCGCAAAGAAAATGGATGGAAAATCTTTGCGACACACATTAATATCTTGTATTTAATAAGACATCATAACCTAAGTATTAATACCTGTGCTTATAACACAATCAACTTGTCTTCCACTGCCACTAAATTCCGGTCTTGAAGCTTCGAGTTTTTTGTCAAAGCATGGCATTACAGTAGCATGAAAGATATCAGTAACATTTGTAGTTGTTAATCTAAAATTCTAAAAAATTAAATTCAATTAAATGAATTTCAAATTTTATATCTCCAAAGAAATTAGCAGTCGAGATTAATTTTCAAATCAAGAACGTGCAAATAAAATTCAAATAAAATTCTTTCTAGACAAACTAGACTTAAAAAAAGAGACTAAGAAATATTTACGACAAAATTTCGCAAGATCTTAGGAAAAAAATTATCTACTGCAGATAAAAATTCGGACGAGATTTGTAAAAAAAATACAACGGCACTCTTAGAAAATCATCTATTATAAGTATAAACATTGAAATAAGCATTAAATAAGTATCTTTAAGGATGAAATATCTTTAAAGGAAACGATCTATAGTAAGATTTTCCTATAAAAATAAAAAATGCACATTATTATCATTAAATGATAAAAGAAAATCAGCATCTTTTCTATATGCTAGAAAAAAATAATACATGATCATACTTCGCCAGATAATCTTTCACAATGGAACCCATCATTGCTTGAGGTGATCGCACGCGACTTAAATGGGGAATAAGTAAATTTCCATAGGTCTTTTCAGCGTAGCACACTAAAAAGAATTGTTGAATTGTTTAAATAATACCATTTAAGCATTAAATATTCTTGAAAAACTCAAAAAAACTACCAATCTTTCACCAAATAAAAGTTTTCTTTTTACGTAAGTTCAAATCATATTATTAACAACACTTTTTCTAAAATTATTACCGAAGCCAGGGCATGCTGAGCAAAATATCGTTCCTTTCATGCGTTGATTTTTGAATTCTTCGAACGACAAGGATAAACTAAGATATCTACCAAAGCTTGAATCCAATATATAAGTGGCACCAAGATTTTTAAAAGCTTTTGCAAGTTTAATGCTTGTTTCCGCCACAGAAAATCCTCTTTTAACAGCGATCGAACAAATAGCTTGCGGAGATATTGTCACAACACCTAATTTGCATCGTGACAGACCATCTATTAACTTTGCTGTGGATTGTTCCTATTATAGAAAAATTACAAAATATTATGGGTAATATTGATTCCACAAATCGAAAGAGGCTAACTCTACGAAAATGAATTGAAACAAACCTGAACAAGGACGGTTTCCGCACTTGTTATGCAACCACTGCACGCCAAACAATCATTAAGCGAAACGGTTATTTTTTTATTATTCGAGGTATTTATCCCATTCGACCTTTTTCGAATCCCTACTGAAATCGTTGCTGAATCTTCCTTTTCATTTTTCCGTAATGGCAATATGCAAGCCTTAAATTCAGAAAATTAAAAAAAAAAAACGAGAAATGCAATCTAAAACTGAAAAAAAAATAGAATCAAAATGAAAAGAACGTTTTGATAAATGAATGTGGTTGTATTTCATAAAAAATAAAATCCAGTACTTTGGATGAAGAAAAAATACTTGGGAAGGAGCGATGAAATCGCTGACGTTCGAAATCCGCACAACGCTACTAAAGCCTCCTTCTTCCATCAATTATAGCCTAAAAGAATAAATTTCTTTAAATGGATGTTTCGTGCGAGAAAAATCCCATTCATCACAAAGCATATAACAAAATTAAACCTTTCCGAAAGATAATTTTTTTCACATTTCAATCGTAAGAACAAAAGGAATGATTTAGACTTGTGTTTGCATAAGTTCGAATATCCATTAACAAAAGCGGCTCCAGAAAATCAAAGACAAACAGGAAAATGTCAGAACATAAATAATTTCACGAAAAAGAAACTTCGAAAAAAAATTCAGTATCGTTTAAATAGGAGGAATAATCAAAAATCTTAGATTTTTTCCAAAAAAACCGGCTAAAATTTCTCAAATAGCTACTTTAATCGGGGTTTAAATATTAAAAATTTGCATATGCTTCGACATATTAAATTGTACAACAAAATATTAACTAAAATTTTATTAAATTCATCAAAACAATAAACAAATAAATAAGTTTTAAATAAATAAAAAATAAAATAAAGTGAATAAAATAAAACTTGTATAAAATAAAAAAAAAACAATAAACATTTCTAAAATTTAAAAAAAAACTATTTCGATGAAAAATAAGCAATCAACATTATTTGATCGCAAATTTAGATATCTTCTATGTGATGATCAATGAAATATTTAATATTTAATTAAGCAGCAAAAATTTCTTGAGCGACTTCATCGAGGAAACTGAAAAGAAAATGCAATGATACAAATTAAATGAAATCCAACTTAAAATAGTTTTTAGTTTTAATAGTTTTTTTTTATATCTAGTGAATTCATTTTCTAAAAATACCGCAAAAAAAGGCAAAGTCCATTGATATTTAGATTTTACAATAAAATAAAAATTTAAAAAACAAGATATATGATTTCGCTTGTGATAAAACTAATTTTTTAAAAACAAATACCATCCAAAAAATAAGATATGGATGGTTGCATTTACTTTTATAATTAAATCAGCAATTTATCACCTATTATTCTCTTAATATCAATAACATTTATTTTCGCAATATTTATCTTTGCGAAACACGTTGTAAACAAACAGGTTCTATGAAGAATAAATGAACTAAACATAGAACATAGAACATAGAATTTATCAGAGTTTATCAAATTAAACCTTTCCTGTAATTTTGATTTGACATAGAATAAAAATTATTTTGTAAATCTTTTGTAAATTTTTGCAAAATTCTTCGAAAATTTTGTTTTTTACCGAGATTTCATTGGCTGTCCCAGCACATAAAATGCGTTTGATAGCGAATTACAATATGCGGTATGAAGTCGTTTGAAAATCTACAATTTAATATCGCCTCAAAATTTGTCATTTAATAATGATTTTATGAAACCTAAAATCGAAAACAATAATATTTACCTTTACGATTAAATCAGCAATTTATTATCCTTTTAATATCAATAATATTTATTTGTTTTAATATATACATATGTTTTATGATAAAATGTCAATGAACGCATTATGAGATCTAAACCAAAACATATAGAAATATGTTTTTCATATAGAAATTTATCTTTTCATGGACATAATTTATGGATATTATGAGTACTTAAACCTAACTGCGTTGGTGATTCAATGGCAAGATAACTGCCACGATAAATCAATTAAAGATTTGGATCTGCCGATGCACCACTTTTCCTCGAGCGGCAAAAAATAAAGGAGAGTAGAATGCCTCAGCAGATTCAATTCAGTGCAGGAATAAACGTCTGAAAATCCGGTTGATGGATGGCGACTCACCGATTTCCATCGCCAAGGAAGTCCTTGGCAAATCAATGTAGTGCGACAGAGGAGCAAGTCTAATTAGCAATGGTGAATGCTGTTTAAAAAGAAAAACTAAAAACTGAGCCAAACTTGAGTTTTAAATCTAATTATTCAAACTTTTAGGATAAAATGGCAAAAAATTTTATTATGACAAAATGCTTAAGGAGGAGGACAAAAAAAAGCATCAATATTAAAGTCTTGCTGTTTTCTTTAAATTTATAAATCACTTACAGCTCGCACATCTTGATCTTTCAGTGATGTATTTCCAATCTCAGAGACCACAAGCATTTTCAGTTTAGTATTTGTAATATAACCAAATGACTGGAAATTATTGTAATATTATTGTTATAAAATTATTATTAAATTATTAAATTTTTATCAAAAAAATTTTCATCGAATTAATACGAGAAAATAATAAGAGAAAGAAAAACTCGTAATAATGAATATAAATAAAAACAAAAAAAATAACAAAATATTATAAAGCGAGCCAATATATAAACCTCAAATTAACGTTAGTCTTTTATCACTATTAATTCAATGAAAATTTTTATATCACTATATTAAGTACCGTTTTATATAATATAATAGATGATAAAATCAAACAAAATGAAAAAATACTCGTTTACCTTGTATTTTTGATCAGATATAAGTGGGCCAAGAAAAAGCTCAGGAGAACGACTAGCACCATCAATTTTCTCATCGACAATATCCAACGAACAGTATAGAAACATATGAATATCAAATTCTTGAGATCGTTCCTTTTCACAAACATTTACGTACAATGGAGTGCTCTAAGACAAAGAAATATCATTTTTTCCAAAAAAAATCATAATTTACCCAAAGGGAACTACAATATTCAGAAAATTCGAGAATAAATCTTTAAAAATTTAAAAATATTTAAATAATTTTTAAAGGTCTTTTGTTTTTTGTATTGTTTTTTTTATAATTTATAAATCTATTTATAAATTATAACAAGACAATAAATTTATTATTAATTGCTTTAATTAGATTTCAACTTTAATTTCATTATTAATTATTACATTTCCATTTTAAATTCGTCAACAGTTATAGAATCATGCGACATATTAATATTTATTAATATATAATGCGATAGCTTTTTTTGATTTAGGAGCACTCGCCATTACCGGCCATAGAGTCGCTCTCTGGCTTGCCACACTAGACAATATGCCAGTGAGTCCCTTGGAGATAGAGCCCCTGGCGATAGAGACCGTTGGCGAAGTACAGGTGAGTCGCCACCATCACTCGAACATCGCTAACTCGGATAGCTTATTTGCTTTTTTTCAACTCAATCGAATAAAATTAAAAATTCGTAGAATGGAAACTTACACCTTTGTCGATAATTGCTAAACATATAGCCATTAGAAATTATTCGAATGGATTGAAACGCAGGAAAATTACAAATTCATTTAACACCGACCTTCCTGACAAAATGAAATAAAAATAATAATGCAAATCGGCAAAAATCAACACGAGAAACCTGGCGGTGCATTTTAGATTTGTACGGTAAATGACATTTCAACGAGTATCGCTGCGAGGTTCCATTTTATAGTTCCATTTCCCATCTGGGAAGTTGCGTTTCAAATTTACATACAGATTTTAACAAAGTTTTTAAAACGTTTTCGCTTATTTTCTCTGCTAATAACGCTCGACTTCCATTGGATTTTTATTTTTTCATTAAATAACGCTCATCATTTTGGTTCAGTTTTAGTTAACTTCTCCTCTCATTGAACCTCTCACTTGGAACCGAAAGCAAAACCAGGTCACCAGTCGCAGTCTGCTTAGTCTAATAACAGAACATACCTATTCGCTCAGTATTCCACACATAAACCTGAAAACTTAAAACGAAAATGCCACATAACCAAAGAAGAAAAGTATATAAAAGGGGAACGCGGCCGCGGCCAGAACGGTGAAATGGTTTATCACGTCACTATCATAGTTATTTTTAATGACGCATCTTTGCGATTTCACCGTCATGTTGGTCCAACAGTTTATGGCTGATGGTCGCTTCTTCGCGAACAAGCACCTTAACCGCGTTGTTAGTGGTCACGTAGTTTATGGCTGATGGTCGCGTCTTCGCGAACAAGCACCTTAACCGCGTTGTTAATGGTCGCGTCTTCGCGAATAAACACCTTAACCGCGTTGTTGGTGGTCACGCAGTTTATGGCTGATGGTCGCGTCTTCGCGAACAAACGCGGATCTATATTCGAATGGTAAAATGAAGAATTACGGATTCATAGGTTATAAATTCGAGTCAAAAGGAGGTTTATTACGTGTATACAATTTGTACATCTGCATAAACCATCGCGCAAGATGTTTGATGGCGTAATATTTGCTAAAATTTACCGGATTTGCTAATGGTTGGTTTTGTTCGAGCGAAAAATTTGTCCAGAAATGAATGACTTATCCTAAACATGAAATTGTTGGTTCCACTAATTTTTAATAAATTTCTCGTTCTAAATGCTTTAAAAATATATAAAAAAAGACAATTCGTTTATCCGGAATTATTTTACTAAAAAACTTTATATTGAATTTCAAACGAACGAAAAAGAACGAAAACGCCGATTATCTTTACTGATAAAAATTTCAGAAAACAAAAAATAACTGATAAGATAGTTGAATTGACAATTTGATCTGAAAATGGCTGAACAAGGACAATGAACTGAAATTTAGCGTTGAAAATCAATCATTTATAAGGGATTTAGATTTACAAGAAATTAGTAAAAAAAAAATTGATGTAAAATTTTTGTAAAATTTGTAAAATTATAATGTAAAATTTTATTTCACGTCAATTCTGTGTTGAATGAATGTTGCGGAATGTCGAAAAGTCGAATCGAATTTACTTTACGTTGAACTGTTATTATACTAGTTCGGGTTCCACTCTTTGATGGAAATAAATCTGTTTTAGAAAAAGTGGAAGGTGAAAGGTGAAATGTCGAGCACTATGAGTACCCCGCTTCTCTATCCTCGAATGACTTTGATGAAAGGCACTCATTCAAGTGATCGTTGTTTTTTTAACTAAACCTGAAATGTTTAGAAGAAGAAGATTACTGACTCGCAAAAAAATAAAACGGTCTTTAACGACTTCTTTAACGACATAACTTTATAATGTCTTATTTAAAACTTTATGCAAGATAAATGAAAATTTAATCACAAATTTCCGAAGATTAATGTTTTCTAAGATGGGAGCACGATTGCCGAATGGATATCGGTTTAGGTCACCGCGTTGCTACCCTCAGCAGTAAAGGACCATCATTAAAAAGAATGGTGCTGACTTGCCTGCACTTCTTTTACCAGGTGATTGATTCCCAAAATTTCTAAGCGTTTTGATAGCCAACGCAGTTGGACTAACCAGAAATGCTGAGCGTCAAGCGTTAAGTTAAATTTTTTTTAAAATTTAAATTTCATTTAAATTTTTAAATTTTTTGAAATTTTTTTTAAAATTATAATTATATTTATATTTATATTTAATAAGTGTTTAAATTTCATTGAATAAAAATGAATTCTTTCCGAATTCGTTGCTGCTTCCATATTTTTTGAATTTCCATATTTTACTTTTTAGGACTGAAAATATCCCAGCTGATAGTTGTTTTTTATCTCCTAAGCGTTATTTCTTGGGTGCGTCGGCCAGTTATTCAACTTCCAAATTTTTCAAATTTCCAAGAAGAGATTCCATTTGCGTTGCCATTAAGATTAGTCTTTTCTTCAGAATCCTCCATTATCTTTCATATTATCTTAACATTTTATTTATTTTATTATTTATTCTGTGAGATATTTTATATAAGTATAAAAGTATGCGAGTAATTTCTGTGTAAAATAAATAAATGATAAAATTGAAAAATTTATTTTATCATCTTTTACTGAGTGCAGTAACTTATGTTTCAATTATATTCTGTATTTTTACAATCTTAATTTACTTTTTAACTAAAGCAAACTATAAATTCTTCGAATTCAAAATCCTCGACTAAAACCTTAAGTGGCCGAGTGAACAAAATTCAGATTTATCAAATTATCAAATTTTAGCGGTTAATTTTAGCGGTTTGATTTTGCCATTTCAGAAAGACGGATGATGGACACTGGTGAACTTTCCTTATTATTATAATAGTAAAACAAATGTTTAGCGAAATGCAAGCATCTATTTCATAAAATATATGATTTAGTATTGCTTGCATTGATATCAAGCGTCATGATTTTTTCTCTTTGGCAGACCTGTTATTAAAAATGAAGTCGAAACAGCAATGAGTACCAATCTCTCTCCAAGTCGTTCTCTGGCAAGAGACTCATCTTAGTGAAGTCAGCCGAATACATCTCGAAAAGATTAACGATTAAATGAGTGGTTCTTCCTCATCCGACGAATATATTTCTAATCAGCTTTCACTAGGTATACAGGATTGGGTTGTGTAATTTATCGTAGAGGCGGGTCTATCATAAGGAAATAACGAGTGAAGAAATAACGAGAGGGTGGAACTGCTCTAAAAGATGGTTTTATGAATGGTGTCGTACCGATTGATGCCCTCTATGGCAGCTCCGATTTATTACATTTGGTTGGTCCCATCATCCTTTTATCTTTCCTCTATTTATTCCATCCTTTTCTATATTATCCCAACAATTTGTTCTTCTGTTAATCACTATCATTATCATGAAAATAATGCAAATTCTATTCGTTTAAAAGCTAAAACATTCGGTCAAACCGACGAACAAATGCGAAATGTTCAAAATTATTTGGAAAAAATTCGAACTATTGAAATGCAACGCCATCCTCAGGAATTGTCATTTCTACAAAAAATTTCCAAGGAGGTAATTCTTTTCAGAGAAAATTTTTTTCTGCAAAAATAACCTTTCTTCTATCCGAAATAGTTTTAAAAATAAATAAATTTAACAATGTTCATTAATATTTTTTAGCTGAAAAGTGCATCCTCGTCCATTTCAACTAATTTTTAGTTTTTCCCGATTTTTATTAATTACAATTTATTATTATTATTATTAACGTATTATTATTGATATACTCGTTTCATTTATTTAAAAGCACGCACCATTAGTGATTAGACTCGATCCTCTGGCTTGTCGCACCAGACAAATATGCCAGGGGAGCTCCTTTGGCGATAGAAATGAAGGTGAGTCGCCAATATCACCAGCACCTGTTTGATTTACTTTTAAAAAAATAAATAAGATTTTGATCTAATTTTAAAATTTTATGCAAAAATTTTAAGATATTTTTGCAATTATTTTGCATATATATATATGAAATCAAATTTAAATTAATATTTATCAATTGTAATTAACTGTAAATATTTCAATAAATTTTGTTAATTTTCGTACAAATTATTAAAAAATCCATATTTTCAATATTTTAAAATAGCTGGAAACTTCCTCATTTTGCAATATGAAAATTAGGGGAATCGAAATGTTTGCACAGTTAAATCAAATATTTTAATTATTTAGTCCACATTTTACTGTTTACTATTTAGAAAAATTTATTTTTCAGTTACTTTTCAAAATATTTCAATGAATTAAATATTTCTAAATTCCTTAGCGGAAGATTATTTTTTTCATTTCTTAAGTTTGGTTCATTTGTATTTTTGCTTATAAAATTTATGAATGGAGAAAGGCTTATTCGATTTTAAATAACTTAATTGTTATTTTGCGATAGTCTTCTGGAAAGTTTAACAGCTCAATTCCTGGATTTTGCGATTATCGAAATTCATAAATTTCAATTAGAACAAAATATATTTAATTCATTCAATTTCGTAAATAGCACCATAAAATTAGCAGAAAAATGTCGTAAATTTAATATTAATTTAATTCTCAGATTCATAATACATGGCAAATTTAAACATATTACTTATACCTAATTTAAATATACTAAATATATTACTAAATATATTATTTAAATATATTTAAATATATTATATATATAAATAATAAATATATATAATAAATTTAAATATTATGTTATACTTCATTTATATAATTTTATGTGAGAAATGGGAGATGGAATCGCTCAATGGGCTCAATTCGGAGCGCCGATACTTAGGCTCTACTCTCTCTCCGCAGGAGTAAACCTGTCCAAAAATCTGGGTGGTACTGTCGGCTGCACTTCTGTCGCTAAGCGACTCTCTAGCATATATTTGTCTTGTGTATCTAGCGGAGCGATGAATGATGCTGGTGGTGCAGCCCTCTGTGACGAAAGGATTTTATACTAACCATCAATGGAAGCCAAGAAAGAAATGCAAGCAGTAAAAATAAATAGTAAATAGTAAAAAATAATAAAAATTTTGTGGTACAAAATAATTTTCACCTTGAACAATGCGAAATAATATATGGCAATTTGCTGTTCATTTCTGCTACATGCAAGGCGTAAA